TGAATAAATAAGATAATAAAATATATAAACATATAAATAAATAATTAATAAATTTAAAAATAAAATAGAGATAACAGTGTGATATAATGTTTTTGATTAATTTAATTTTTAATAAATTTAAAAAATTTAAGCTATAAAATAATAAAATCAAAGCTTATTAATCAATATTACTTAGTAAAATTGTTTTCGTTAATAAAATCATCATCAAAAAATTGCATAAATTTCATATTCTGTTGATTTTTAATACAGTATTTTTAATATTTCAATATTCTTATATTCAGTGTAACACATAATAAATAATTTAATGAAATACATAACTAAACATGTGAGCAAATTCTATAATTAAATACATTTTATATATTTTCTAATTTGGTACTATATTTAAAATTATTATTTGAAATATTATTCATCTACATTAATTTTAACTCCACTCCATATTCTTTAATAACTTTAAAATGTTCATCACTTAATGTAAAATTCCACACTTCTGTTGCGCTTCTTAAAATAATCTTTTTATTTTCTCCTCCTCCTTTAAAACACCACCCTTCAAAGATTTCTCTTAAATCATCAGCACTAAACCTCCATGAATCATACATTTTAATTTCAATAGTTTCAAGTGATTCTGGTATATTTTTGGCCATTTGGCATAATAATTCATCAGTATCAATTCTACAATCAAATGAAAATCTTCTTAATTCGTTAAAATTATTATTAAATATTGCAATTAATTGTTCGAGACTTAATTGATAAAGAGTTAAATTGGTAATCTTTGTACAATAATTTAACATTGCTGAAAATACATCAAATGTAATTGAGGGAAATAAATCCAGACAAAGATTTTTTAAATTTGTATTGACCGTTTCGAGAATTTTTATAATAAAATCTTGAGGATATCTATCAGATCGATCACACGAATGCATATAATGAAAACTACTTAATTGAGTAAATGATGAAGCCAAGGATAAACAATCTGAATCACATAATCCATAACAATCTTCAATATAAAGTTCTTGAAGTGAAGTAAATTGTCCAATAGGTAATAATTTCTCCGCATAACTATTATGATAACATAATTTTTTTAACCGAAAACTCTTTAATGTTTCTTTTTGACTGACGATAGACCAAAACAATGGATCATGATCCAGAAAATAATTAGCAACAATTGATATATTTTCTAACCGTTTTTGAACGCTAATAAGTTTTGCTAATAATTGCACTTGATAATATGAATTCAATTTCAAATTCATATTTAAAATATTCCCACATATTAATTTTAATGATTCGCATAATTGACAAACAAATCCATCATAATAATTTTCTATTATAAAACTTTCTAGTTTCTCGAATACTTTCGAAGCATTAGGTAATTCGAGAATTGAACTGATTGTATCACTATAATCATTATGATCAGAATATTTATATCTCGCCAATTTAAAATAATCTAGAAATGAGCAACGATTTATTATTAATTTAAATATCTCATGAAATAATATTTTTGAATCTTTACAATTATTAATAATACGTTGTTGCGAATATATGGAAATAAAATAAACTAAATTATTAATTATAAATTTATGAGTGAATGATGGATAATCAAAAGTGGGTTGAGGTAGTAATAATGATAAATCAAATCCATTTTGAGTAAGTAAAGTTCTAGATTGAGTATCCATACATGATATATAAGTTCGAATACATAATGCTGTCTTCTCTGTGCAATAATTTTCTTGACCCAAAGGTAATTCCCAAAGTATCGGCATAATAACTTTACACCAATTTCGATTAACTAACAATGATGAATATAAATCTTGTTTTAAACTAAATGGTTGAAAATTTTTTAAAATTTTAATTAATATTTCGGTGGGAATTTTAGTTGCCATTTTTTTGTCTAAGAAATAGAAATTTCAAGGAGTAAAATAATCGTACCACATATGAGTGTAAAACTTCATATGGTTACCTAAATAATAAGCACAAAATAAAGTTGAAAATATCTCCTTTTTGGGAAAAGGAATAATAAGATCAATTTTCGTGCGATGTTTATTTGTGCCTCAGATCGATTCTTGACTCAGATTAAAACTGGCCAAAGTTAGGGTTAGGGTTTGCCAAGGTTAGAAGGATCCACATAGGCCAATTTTATAATTCTGGTCAACGGTGACACCTGAGGCGATCTGAGTCAAGAAAGCGATCTGCATACGTAACTTTGTATTGTGGTGACGTGGCACAAAATAAAATAAAATATTACGCCAATCAGTCTATCTAATTCAAAATTGTCGTCACTCAAAGATCTCACGCTTTTACTTCTTTATACAACACGATATCTGTCAGAAGGATTGGCCTCTGGCACAGATAACAACTCAAACAATTTTACACGAAGGTGTGATCTGAGAGGTACGATGAGTAAGAGGAGTAGAAGTATCTCCACCAATTACCCGAACACTTTTAAATAAGAGTAGGCTTACTGATGCAACTTTATTTAAGCGAGGTAAGTAAGTTTATTATTTAAGTAGATAAAATTTGACTATAGAAATTTAATAGTAGAAATATTACAGGATATTGTGTCTATAACTACTACTAATCTTCTATCTTAATATTACGAATATTATTGCTATTATAAATTCGAAACGCTACTAAAGCTATTATTATTATTATTGTGATGAGGAAAATATTATGATAATTTTTACTATTATTATTAAAGAGGATGCTATTCTGATTAAAGAAAAGTTCTTGTTCTTCTTCTTGCGGCCGCGTGGTCACTGCTTCTTTATATGCTTTCACCTTTTTTTTACCTTTACCCTAAGTTGCCACCCATAATATTCTATTTTGGAGGTGTTTTGTAAGGGTGAATAGATAGCCACCTTTGTACTTCACCCAAACGGTAGTACACAAACTATCTTAGTACTACTGCCACCTCTGTTCGCCACCTTCAGTGACCACGGATATTTCTGTGCCACCACAGTATTTTAAATCGGTGTAACGAACTTCGTTTCCGAAATTAATAAGAAAATCGTCGTGAACCACTAGGCGTAAAAACAATGCACTAAATAAATTTTTTTAAAGTCTCTTTTTTTGGAATAGACATAATCCAATCAACGGATAAATAATTCAATAAATGATAACAAATTAATTTGTTCTTGATAAAAAAATTTTTAGGGCATGTAATTACTTATCGCAAATGATAATAATCTAACACAATTTCCAAACAAAAGACTTTTTTTTTATTTTGAAAGAGCACATTCTAATTATATGATTTATTTATTTTATCAATTCACATGCTAACTTTGCTGGCTTATAAATTTAAATTTCGTATTAATCTTTTGGAAAAGTTGTTACATATTCCATTTTAAACTTTATCTTTTTTAATATTATAATTCTTATTTATTATTTCAGGTGCAATAAATTCATTTTCTCTGGAAAGAAACTCATATCTCGAAGTTACAATGTACTGATTTTTAAAAATACAAATAATATTTTCAAATTAATTGATTAAAAAATTATATAAAGCTGAAATTCAAATTTCAATTTATTTTTTATTTAATTATCGCGAAAAAATGAACCAAAATTTGTTCATAAATTATATTAAATACTCATAATCTGTTCAAAAAAATATGTACATACATAAACTATAGCCCTCTTCCAATAAGGTAATTACACGTATACGTTCCTCAATGTTTGTTACAATAATAATGTCATGTTCAAAACCTTTATTATATAAGTAGAAAATTACTTAGGTTATTATTCAAAAAAATGTCTATAAGATTTATTTATCATGGTTCATTTGTTAAATTTTCAATTGGTTCTTAATTAATCATTTAATTAATCACTTTATTTTATGGATTGTCCAGATTTCAATAAAAGCTTTATCGAATAATTCATATCAAATTGGTTAGTTAATTTAATTATTCATAGGAATTGAAAATGGGTACAATTATGATTATTTCTGAATCTTCTTTATTTTGTACATTATATTGTTATATTGTATTTTATAGTGTATGCTTCAATTTTATGAATGATTAAATATTATGTAAATAATATATGATTATTTATTGATAATTATACATTTATTTATTTATTTATAATTAATTTAATATTAATTGATAGTATGTATGAGTCAATTCTTTTATTCTTTCATGTTTGATTTTCAAATGAATAAATGAATTATTATATATGACAATACATTAATGAATCAATTAAAGAATCAATAAAACCAAACCATTATCTGTATGTAACGATTTTATTAATAAATACAGTACATTTTATCTTTTTGATATTTTAATATTTTCTGCTAATGACAATTTTATTTCTACAAATCCTAGATAATTTAATGAGGGATTTGAATGTTTGATTCCGTATTAAATATAAATTAAATCATCTTCGTGAATTTTTTTTGTGCCTAGTTAATTTATCGATGCTTGAAATTCTGTTTTCACAACCAACCTAATTCGTATGTCTTTTGTATTAAATATGTTAATTAATATAATTGCACGGAGGAACGTCACATGGGACTTTATAAAGTGATACCAAAAGTTCCGAATTTTAATTTTGTGTTTTCTGCAAATTGCGCAACGTAATAAGCAATATCTCCGGACTTATAACTTTACAGTTTCCTAATTTCCTGGTATAATTTTTCTATACTATCTATTATATAATGTAAATGGTTTGCACAAAGTAAACAAAGTCAAAAAGGAGAGATCATAATTAATAAAGATAAAAATATGATATTAGAATATGATATTAGACATAGATATATATCTTTTATTTTTCATTCGTTGCGTTATTTATTTATATACATATATGATTTTTTTTAATAACTTAAATATTTATGTATTAAGGGTTCAAGCGTCTAATGAAATCGCGAATATTTATAATTTTCGATTTAGAAGCCATTGAATGAAATATAAATGTGATATAATATTTTATTATTAGAACGTAATTAAACATTGCTTACAGTTATTGGTATGGTATTGTTATTATTGTTATTTGCATATGTTTATTTAAATATTATTTTGTTTATTTCATTTCGCGCAAATTTTTTTATTTGTTTGTTAAAATCTTTGCGTTATTTTTTTCGCGATCTTTGTTGTTTAGCTCTTTTATTGTTTCACAAAACACCAAAATTATTCTATATAAATGGTCCACTTTTTCTCAATTCCTTTTTTTCAAAATATAACATAAAAATGGATTTTAATTTCATTGAAAAGATTAATACATCATTCTTAATATCAATATTATGAATAATATTATCAATTATAATATTATTCTTGATATTGATGATATTATGGTGGTGCGAACAGTCTAAAGCCATAACTTTTATATATTGCGGCGAGTATTTAGATTCATAATCATCTCAATCAATGTTTCAATTTAATTCAATATCATATAATAATTATCTAATCAATAATGAACTAATCAATATAATTATATTACAGCGAGTGAGTGTTTGATTCATAATTATTGAAGTCAATGTTTCAATTTAATTCAATATCATATAACAATTCTCTAATCAATTATAAACTAATAAATATAAATAGTCTGTGAGTAGTATGTAGATTCATAATTATTGAAATCAATGTTTCAACTTAATTCAATATCGTATAATTAATTGTCAATAATATTTTTTAGAGAGTGTAGTAAACAATTTCAAAATGAATTTACTAAATGGACAAGTGAAGACAAAGAAATTGATAAATTTATCCAACAAATACAACTAAAGGCAAATAAGTATAAAGAAATTATTGAGTGGATTTCATTTGACACACTTAAAAATGTTACACACCTTGCTAAAGGGGGTTTTAGTACAGTATACAAAGCCATCTGGTATTCGTTCTTGTAATTATGAAATGAAAAATTGGAACAGATTAGGAGAACAAGATGTTTGCTCAAAAAGTCTTGATAATTCCACAAATGAAAATAAATTTTGTAAGAGGTAAACATTCCACATTATTTAAATTTAATTATTTTATATAAATAATACAAATAATAATATATTACATTATTTAAATTTCATTGTTTTAAATATAATAAAATATTTTAGATTGAAAATCAACTTAAGTTTCGAGGTAAACTGGGAGTTGCAATATATGGTATCACTAAAGATCCAACAAAAAATGAACATATTATGGTTATGAAATATGCAGAATATGGTAGCCTTCGAAAACTGTTAAATAACAAGTTTGAAGAATTAACTTGGAGAATAAAATATGTTATATTATAAAACACTGTAAATGGACTTATAAATATCCATGAAATGGGCTTAATGCATAAAGATTTTCATTCTGTAAATATAGTTAATCAAACTTTAACTTATAGTTATATTACAGATTTTGACTGTGCAAACCAGTTACAGAAAATGATACAGGAAATATTTATGGTGTAATTCCATACATGTCACCCGAGACTTTGAGTAGAGGAGAATACACTCAAGCATCAGACATTTATTCTTTTGACATGATTATGTTAGAAGTTCTAACTAGTTATCCACCATATTATAATATTCCACATAATGAAAATCTTGCAGTGTGCATTTGTGAAGGGCTTAGACCTGAAATAAAGTGTGAAATTCCTCAATTTCTCAAAGAAATAATGGAAAATGCTGGAATTTTGAACCTCTTGATCGTCCAACTGTTAGTGAATTGGATTATCTACTTGATAAATATTATGATGGTGAAATAAGAAAACAAGTAAACAAGCAAGTTAATGCAGTAAATAAATCAAACAAGAATTTTATTAAATATGAACCAAATAAAATGCATCCTGAAGCAATATATACAAGTAGACTTATAACTAACCTACCTAAATCTACGATGCCCAGATATAATACACATAGTAAGTATATTTTGAAAGAAATAAATTCTTTCTTTTTAGAAAAAAAGAATTTTTTATTAATTATTTATTTAGATCCAAGACAGCAATTTTTTTCAATTCCTGATACTGATAGTATAATTGGTAAATTTATTTCTTTAAATATTTTGTTACATATGTTTAATTTAAAAAGTTTACTAACTATATTTAAATTTTTATAGTGAAGATGAAAAAAATGAAACTCAAGGAATGTAAATTTAATTCACTAGGAATTAATTGAATAGTTGTTTTAGAATTAAATATTTAAATATACTATATTTTATTTGATCTTTTTATTATTATTTCATTTATTATTTCATTTATTCGTTTATTTTATTATATTTTATATTTCTATTATTTTATTTGATCACTGGAATTATAAAGTTTTTATTTTTATAATAAATTCCTTTTGTCACTATTGAGACAATTATATTGGGGTTATATGTAATCACTTGCTGAGGCTGCAAATGATTTTTTTGTCTTATGATACAAGAAATTGTTTACTTAATGGCACTGCCAGAATTTTTTTTATGATGCTATACTGTTTTCTAAATTTTGGTCATGTAGAATAACAACTTCAATTGATAAATTATAATTAATATCTTTAAAATTTTGTCGGGAGGTTTAATTTAAATTGAAATTAGTTGTCCCTTCATGGTTTTACAAAAATTTTCATCTTTAAAAATAGTAAAGCAGAGAGGGGTACATAGTTATGAATGATCTGATCCTTATTTATTTAAAAAATCAGATTTTATTTATTTAAAAAGAAGAATCAATATTATTTAAAACAAAAAATTAAAGAGACTACGAATACAACGGACAGTATTTCATCTTGCAAACTGATAAAATTCTTTATTATTTTTTTAATTCTATGCTGAATAATATGCTTAATTAGAGAATAAAAATAAAACAAGATTTGAATCTTTGCAAAAAATTAATCTTTTAAATATATTAGAAATTTGAAATCTAACTTCCTATGAGTCTTAGAACCAAATGAACAGTATAATTATTCCAAATATTGTAATCCTGAAGGGTCCTGTCATCCTCAAGTTGTTTATCTGCAAAAACAAGTCGTTGTTGCTCGGGTGGAATACCTTCCTTGTCCTGAATTAACTCCTTAACTCTATTAATAGAAAAACTTGATCCTACTTGCAAGGTAGTCGTTTTTCCAGTCAATTGTCGTACAAAAATCTGATAACTGCTATTTCCTACATTAGAAATTATATTACAAGTTATCGTTGAGTCATCTTGGATATTATAATATGAGAGATTTCGATTATCTTCTAATTCTTTGCTGAAATGATATAACCGAGCGTAGGCATTAATATTGGAAATTTTATTCCTTATGTCTCTGATGGTGTCTGTGTGCTTAACTCCGATTTTTAAGACTCTTTTCATACCAGTAGCTCCGTAATTAATTTCCACATTAATTTGCATATTTTCGTGAAACAAGAATTTTAAGTGAATAGTGGATTCATTTTGAATGTCATAATGAGCAATTGTATTATTGTCATCAAGAATTTCTCCAAAGAAATAAAGTCTTTGAACATTTGGAGAAATTCCTTGAAGTTCTTCAATAAATTGTTTTATCTTTAAAATTTTGTCAAGAGGTTCAATTGAAATTAAAATTGGTTGTCCCTTCAAGGTTTTTACATAAATTTTCATCCTTAAAAATAGTAAAGTGGAGCGGAATGAAATGATTAAGCATGTAAGTTTTAGATGACCTGTTCCTTATTTATTTCAAAAATCGGATTATTTTTCTTTTACTCCATAAAGAATATAAAAAAACCGCTAACATTCTACATCCAGAAAAGGAAATATTAACAATAGGATTAGCAAAATTTTATTGTCAATATAATAATTTAAAAAAAAATGAACGATGTGACCAAAATTTGGTCGTACAAATTATTACATTTACAATACCTGTGATTAACAAACCACCAATGTGTAACGAATAAATAATCGAAATTATAACTATTACACTTACCCTCTCGAAGCTGCATATACAGTATATATATATATGTATGTACTATATAGTATGTATAAAAACGAAAACTAATTTATCGTGATAGAAATAATAAATATATTAAGTAATTACATTACCTGCAATAAATATTTTATTATAAAAAATTTATTCCGGCACAAATAAACCTTTCTAATGCATAACAAAGAAACGTTATTAGTTTATGTTATTTAGCAGCAATTAAATAAAAAATCAAATAAAAAAAAACAAATTGTTGAATCCAATATCCAGTTTCAGCCCGATCATCGCTCGTGGTTATTATTAACTGTTTTTTTAAAAAAAAAAAAAAATTTTAAGCACATAATAGAAAAACGTTCTGGGACGTTAGACAAAAAATAAAGTAGTAGTAATAAGATTTATTAACACATAATTTACTAATTTACAAATATTTGATACCAAAGTTTTTTTTCCCATGCCCACTTTTATTTCAAGGAATAATCTTTAGACTTTGATTATTTCAATTAATTAATAAAAATTTATAAAAATTATTTTCAGATATTTAGTAATTCATTCCTAAAATTTATAAGATTAATTATCTACCATAACGCATAAAGCTCATTCTAATCTAATTTCCCCATAAATTTATGATAACCTGAACCTTAATTTCATAAACTCTTGAATATAACTTTGATTCCCAAATATGGAAAATTAGTTCATCCAACTGTCAAATGTGAAAAAAAATACAAATATAACGGTTACGTGAGAAAATTTTGTGTTATAGATGTAAGCTAATCAATAATTGATACTAATCTTTCATATAACTGATAATGCCGTAGCAACAGTCAATAAACAATTACGTGAGAAAAAGCCATCAAATTTTGGGTTATAGATGTAAGCTAATCAATAATCTTTCATATCTCTGATAATTGATATTAACCTTTCATATCTCTGGTAACGCCGTAGCAACAGCATCAGTAGTCATAATGTTACCTAAAAAAAAAGTTTTGGATTTTTAAAGTGTAATTAAAAAGGTGAATTGTTAATTATTTATCAAAATTACTTGTATGAAAATGGAGTTCATATACCGGACGTTAAATACATTATTAATAAACTGGTTTGTATTCGATATTCTTTAACTCTTTAAATGTCAAATCATACATTATCCGATATAATAAATGCGAATTAAAATATCATTGATAATCATAAATTATAATTCTAGCAAAAATTAACTGGCTGCACAGCACAATTCCAGCCGAATCTGGATGAAGGTTTGAAGGTAATCTCATACTTTTTTTCAAGATAAGACAGAGATATTTGTATTTATTCCAAATAGTTAAAAAATATCATATTATTGTTCAAATAAGGAAGTGTCATCTTTTTTGGAGTAACGAATATATTGATCCTATTTATTTGCGGTTAATATATTTTTAGAATATAACAAAATTCAATTAATATCAATATAAATCAGAATATATTCGAATTCAATTACATATATATCAATATAAATTTTACAGAATTATTGAGATTTTTACACTATTTTAACAATATATTTCAATATGTTTACATATATTGCGTTTCTTTTAATGTCATAATGCATAATCAATGATAAATAATATATTGTTGTAATTATTGTATCAGATATAAATCAAATTCTATTTAAAGGACTAGATTACAGTGTTGTTCCAAAATTCTTAAATTTATTTGAAAATATTATAAAATAATTTCTTGATAAATTTAAATAAACCTATAGGATGACTATTACTTTAAACGAAATAAACGTCATAATGTTATCTATCCTATATGGATCAAAATCTATAGGGGTTCAAGAAATGTACGTTCAATAGATATTATTAATAAACTAATTAGATCTATTTGTAACTCTCGTGAATTAAATTATAATCCTGCTGAATTACGTACCATATCTACCAGATGCTGGAGTAATTTTAAAAAATTATCCTATTCGTTTTCGAAGGCATTACTCTAGAATGATCATCATTAAAAAAAATAATAAATTAAATTAAAAAATAATAAATTAAATAAAAAATAATTATGAAATGAGAAATGAATATAATTGTTACTTACTATCATTTATTTAATAAAAGTTAATCATCAAGTTTTTCTTCAACCTTTCATCATTTTTAGTTTTGAAAAATCGAGAGGTCTATTGGTATTCTCTTTCTCTCTCTCTCTCGAGAGAGAGAGAGAGAGAGATGGTATAAATTGCTTGTGGATGTGTTTTTAATTTGTCAGAGTTGTAGTTGTTTGATTTTTGAAAATTATTCAGCTTCTTTGTTATATTTTCGTATTCACTTCAGCACGATCCATAAAGTATTTATATAACTCCATCTAATTCTTCAAAAGTGTGTCGATGTGTAATTCGAACATTCCAACATTCTATAATTATTTGTGTAATTAATTTAAGAGCATGAAATGGAATTTTGGTCAATCGATTACATATTTTAAAAGCAACACACCATGATATGAGAAGTCTAGCGACCATTTCATAAGCAACGAAAAATATAACCTTTTTCCCTCCCAATTAATACTTCAGAAACTACATATGGTAATACTCCAGAATGGGTTTTTTTTTTGTGATTTTAGATTTCTGTAATTAGTTTACTCAATATAATACATTTAAATCTTATTTAATCTATGAATTCTAGTAAATTAATTCTTTTAAATATTATAATTTATAATACCAAATGATATTGATAAAATTAGTATTTCAATAATTTCTAAGAATTCCACCTCTTAATATTGTAAAATCATCATATATTCATGAGTTTGTAATTCCATAAAATTTAACTGATGTCATTTCAACATTTGTTCTCAAGAATTTCCATCTGAATAGCATATTTTTTGAAATATAATTGTTATAATAGATATTTTCAAATAAATATTTATATTATTTATATTATTTTAATTTAAAATATTACTTTACCACATTTAAAAAAAAACTTCATCCTATTACTGATAATGAGACCCGTTAGTATTAAAAAAAAATATCATTTTCGGTTGGCTTATAGTACGTACAGTATGGTAGAATTTTATTTTTTAATTAAAATAAATAAATTTGTATAGGTAAGAATTTATGTTTCGTGATAATGTGTTGTAGATAATTACACAAAAGATATAAATGATGATGTAAAAAGGTAATGTCGAAGATTTATTAGAACTTCATATAACGTCACTAAAATTGTATAATGCGATACTCATACTGTAAAAATTTTTTAAAGTATTATTATTTATGACGCAATTATTTCTAAATCATTTCTAGTAGAAAATATCAAAAACCTTTTTTATTATTATATTTCATTAAAGTTATATACATTGCAAATATAGCAATTATATCAATTATGAAACAACTATTACATAACAACCTAATTAATTATAATCTGTTGTTTAAATTTACAATTTTTATATTACACAGTCATCTCCAAATTAACTTGAACAGTCTTTACTTGAGTATATTCTTTTAACGCATACTTTCCAAGTTCACGACCAATTCCAGATTGTTTATATCCACCAAACGGACTAATTGTAATAAAATAATTAATAAGAATCAGGTGAAATAATAGTGAAATATAATAGTAGTAACGAGAGAATATATAGAGTACTTACGAATAAGGGTTGGTTGTATTATAAAGGTTAACTAAAAAAATAAAATAAAAAAGAAATAAATAATTAAATATAAATAAAAATATAAATATCAATTCAAAAAAAAAAAAATACCCCAAACAGTTCCAGCTTTCAACTCGTTAGAAATCTTGATAGCACGTGAAATATCTTTTGTGAATACGGCAGCAGCCAAACCAAAGGTGGTCATATGAGCTTTTTCAATAACTTCTTCAATCGTATTAAACTTTGAAATTGCCACCACGGGACCAAAAATTTCTTCTTGCATTATGGTCATTTCTTCTTTCTTTAAATATCAAATGTGATACAAAAATTATTATTATTATTAAAATAAAGTAAAATATCAAATAAAATAAAATAAAATTATATTATATTAAAAATTTACCACATCAGTAAAAATGGTTGGTTTAATGAAATATCCCTCTTTTCCATGTCTATCACCTCCCATCAAACAAGTAGCACCTTCCTTTTTTCCAGTTTCGATGTAACCCATAACCCTTTTATTAAATGATATTATGAAATTAATATTATTGTTTTTTTTTTGTTGATGTTATCGTTGTGAAAGGAATCTTTAAATTTAAAAGTTAAAAGAATCGAACTTATACCTATCAAATTGTTGCTTAGAAACAACTGGTCCTTGATCAGTATCACTTTCGAATGGATCGCCAATTTTCATATTTTTCGTATATTCTTTAAATTTATTGAGAAATTCATTATACACAGAATTTTCGACATAAACTCTTGAACCAGCCGTACAACATTGACCATGATTATAGAAAATTCCCGTGTGGGCCCATTTAATTGCTTCTTCAAGATCGGCATCGGCGAATATGATATTGGGAGATTTTCCTCCTAATTCCAAAGTTACTTTTTTCAAATTACTTTCAGATGATGCTTTTAAGATATATTTTCCTGTCACAGTAGAACCTTTAAAAAAAAAATTTAGTAAATAAATAAATATATATATGAATAAATATAAGAATAGATATATATATTAAAGATCAATACTGTAATTAAATAAATAAAATAAAATTACCAGTAAAGGCAATTTTATCAATCTTCATATGATATGCTAAATTTATTAAATTTTTATTAAATTAAATATAAATGAATATAAATAAATATAAATGATATGTATCTCTCTTAAATGTATGTAAAATGAAAATTAGTGACATTACCCATAGCACTTCCAGTAGGTTTACCATATCCACTCAAAATATTGACAACACCTTTCGGAAATCCGGCTTCTTTAATCAAAGCAGCAACTTTTAATGCAGTCAAGGGAGTATATTCAGAAGATTTAAGCACAATTGTGTTACCTGTTGAAAATTTTTTTTTAAAAAAAAAAAATAAATTAAAAAATCAAAAAAAAAAAAAAAAAGAATAATAGTAAATATAAATTACCGCATGCTAAAGCTGGACCCATTTTCCAGGCTTGCATCACTAGAGGAAAATTCCATGGAATGATTGCAGCACACACACCAATAGGTTCATGTCGAGTGTAACTGAATTTTTTTTGCGATTCAAAAGTCTATAATAATAATATCCCCCATTAGAGAATTTAGAGAACGATGAAAAAGAGATAGAGAAATAGAGCTGATAAAGAAGATATGTGTAATAAGACAAGATAGATTACCTTTCCATGAATCTTATCACACCACCCAGCATAATATCTATAAACATCAATTGAATCTGGAACGTCATCTTCTTTAGCTTCTTTGTAAGTTTTACCATTATCCAAAGATTCTAAAGCAGCCAATTCATCCAAATCACGTTCCATCAAATCTGCTAATTTATTAAGCAATTTACATCTTTGAGCTCCAGTAACATTTCGCCAAACATCATTAAAGGCTTTTTCGGCAGCATCTACTGCTAAATCTACATCTTTTTCCGATGCTTCAGCTACCGTGGTAATTTCTTTTTCGGTAGCGGGATTAATGGTTTTAAAACGTTTCCCATCAACCGAGTCGACAAATTCGTTATTAATAAATAAACCGGTGGGAGCTATAAGAGAAATTATAATTATTTATAATTTTAATAAATGATAATTCTGATAATAGCTAATTATATTATAATAATATAATAATTTACTTTTAATGGTCTTATTATTTGGTAAAGTGATAGTTGCTTCGTTGGAACTCATTTTTATTTTATTTTGACACAAAAAATATCAGATTAGTATTTTTAGAAATTGATCATATTTCATTTTTTATATTATTTTATATCAAATAAGTCATGACATATCTTTTTTATGACATAATTTTTACCTCAATGAAAATGATAAGTTTGATAAATTTTTCACTAAACAACAAAAAAATGGATGACGGCGATTATTTATTAACCTCGTAATATTGATATTTTTGAATAGTAATAGGAACATTTTTTAGTTAAAAAAAAAAATTATTAAATTCTATTGATGTGATGTAAACATTAATTTTCAGCCATCCATTATGGATTTCCTAGATTTATCAAATCTTCAAGAAAATTATATATAATCAATTTATTAATTAATTTAGTTAATTTTTTAAGAAAATTTACGGTCTCACTATTCAGCCGATCAACCGCGGCTAATTTATTCCTAATGATGATGAAAAAAAAGAAAAATCTGTTTTATAATAGAAACCTCTTCAAAAAAAAATTTTTAATATTAAAAAAAATAGAAAATCGTGACCACATTTGTTGATCCCAATCTGATCTGATTACAAATTTATGTTGTAGAACTTAAAAAATTTCATATCACATTATCCAATATTGAAGAAGAAACTACTTCTTTTTCAGCTTCATTTTTAAATATCTTCTTCATCAACAACGATAGATTTATATAAATTTCATCTTTCTTTGATTGCTCAAATTCAAAATAATAATAATAATAATAATCATCTTGCCACACATCGTCGTCGTCACCAAAATAATGTAAAAAAAATACCCTTTCCTTATTTAGACGTTTTGTCTAACAATATTCACTATTTATATTTTGCATTACAATTAATTAAAATTAAATTTCCTTTTTCATTTATCCAATTACATATTTTTTTATTTTTTTTTGAGTTGAGTAAAGTATTGGATAAGGGTTGAGACCCCAAGTATAAATGCTAGCTCGATTATTCTCAAATTCCATCGAAAATCTTGAAGAAAATTTCAAAAGTATTTGAAATCCGTTTAAGAAAAAAAATGCCAAAATGTAGAATAAACTTGGTAAATGTTATCGTAATGGAATTGTAATTACAAAAGAAGAGAAAGCATTTCAGTGACCTGAAATTGGCTGAATGAGGATATAGTGATGGACAGTTTAACCTTGGATATTGCTATTGACATGGGATTGGAATTACAAAAGATGAAAAGAAGTATTTCAGTAGTACATGAAGGTGGATGTCATAAAGGACAGTATAATCTTGGTTATTTTTATCATAATAAAATCGGAACTTCAAAAGGATGAAAAGAAAGCATTTTAATGGTAGTGGTGGACAATATAGTCTTACGAACCGTTATTTTTATGGAATCGATACTACTAAAGATGAAGAGAAAGCATTTCAATGGTACTTGAAATCTGCTGAAGGAGGAAATAGTTATGCACAGGCTTTACTTGGAGATAATAATAACCAAGTTTATTCTGTCCATCTGTATTTCCTTCTTCAGCTGATTTCAAGTACCAGTGAAATATTTTCTCTTCATCTTTTGTTTGTTAATTTCATCTTTGGTATTGGGACTATAAAGATGACGAGAAAACATTTCAATGGTATATAAAGTCAACCGAAGGGGGAAATAGTTGTGGAAAATATAGTCTTGTAAATTGTTATTGGTACCATTAAAAGATGAAAAGAAAGCATTACGTTGGTATGTAAAATCATTTAAAGGAGGAAATAAAGAATACATTTTGTTTTGTACATGAAAAGATTATTTATTTTCAGTGTATGTTCTTTTCATTTGTATTTAGTGATTTATGTTTGAAATTTAAATTATTTTTATAATCCAAAAAAAAAAAAATAGTTTTTTTTATAATTAAAATTAGTACAATTTGAATTAAAATAGTAAAAGTTACATTATATTTTAATATATTTTTTATTCAATATTATTATCAAAAATAAAAATTCAATAATCAATATAAGTTAAATAATAATAATTTTCTAAATAGTTTCATATTTTCGTTTAATTCAATTTAAAGAGAAGAGGAAATGATTAAAGGAAAGAAGCTAAATTAAATAGAATTAAGAATTAATTTGAATGAAGATTTATATTCATAACTGAACTGATTATTTTGATTTATAGCACTTGCAGTAATTCCATTCTACCAAACAATAATCTATTAAACATTATCCTGGAATTAATAGAGCTGGAATATGTGGTGACAAATATTTTAGTGAGCGAGCTATTCTTTCTTCTCGAAATGAGGATATAGATTATATTAATCAAGAAGTTCTTAATATATATCTCAGGAAATCAACATACTTACATGATAATGCCATAACAGAGAATGGTATTGATAATAATAATATTTATCCTATTGAATTTCTTAATTCACTTAATCCCAATGGAATTCCTCTTGTAAAACTTAATTTAAGAATTGATATCCTAATAATGATTCTTAGAAATCTTACTCTGGGACAAGGTCTTCGTAATGGAACTCGATTAGTAATAACACAAAGCACGAATATTATGTGGTGATCATATTAGAGAATTAACATTCATACCTCGAATTACCGTAATACCTTCAACTTCTGAATTACCATTTATTTTCAAAAGGAGACAATTTCCTATTCGTGTTGCTTTTGCAATAACAATAAATAAGGCACAAAGACGGTCAGTAAAGAATATTGGCCTAGATCTACGAAACATCAGTATTTTAACTTTATGATGCTCTTTCACGTAGCATTTCACCATATAATATTAAAATTCTTTTACCTTATAATAATTTTGATACAACAACAAATATAGTATATCCAGAAATACTTTTAGAAATTTAACCTGTATAATTTGTAATTGTTAAAATCATATTCATAATATATAAAAAAGTAAATAAAAAAATTGATTATATTATTATTATAAATAACTATCATTTTACCTTTTTACAAAAATTATATGATTCAGTATTACATGTAAATTAATTAAATCTATATAATAATATATTATATCTTAATTTGGATTGTACCTGTGATTATTAAATTATATTGTATCTTAATTTAGATCATAACTGCAAATTGTTTAATAAATTATATAATAATATATTCTATCTTAATTTAGATCGTTCTTACGAAATCATTAAATTGTTTTCTGCTGAAATTAATTATTTCTACTTCAGCTGTGTTAAAAATAATTACATAATAAATTACATAATAATATTGATGAATCGTTTTTAATCAGTATTGATTTATGTGCTCAATAGCACGGGAATTTGTTATAATTATAATTATTAATAATATTATGTTACACTTAAAATAAAAATTTAGATTTATAATACTACTAATAATACTGGGAATTTACTCGTACAGTAAATCGTAATCTTGTCATAAATACAAAATTTTATGAACGACTGACAAACACGATATGAATAGTTAATAATTGAGAAATGGACAATCTCGTTTCGGAACAGGAATAACATAGAAACCTTATAAAAGTCATTAGATTCAGATTTATACATATTTTTAATCTCAAATGATTACATAAATAAAACAAGATGATACCTCTTATTTAATGTACATATTTAATAATCCTTCGAATCACGAAATTTTTTTCCTAAAAACCACTATTTGGGATTATTTAGATTATTTAAAGTTTCAATATATTTTCTAAATTTTGGTCAAATTTCATCGTAAATTCTTAATATCATTTTCCAGTTTATTAAATCTTTCTTGAATTGATAATTGATTGTAGTAGGGACTGGATCTTCAGATAAAGGTTCATTACTTGATTTTATTATTACTGACATTCTTTAATGATTTATTGTTTGATTTCCAATTTCTCTGTGATTCTTGTTTGATTTTAATTGAAAATTTCTTCATCAATAAATGAAATTTTATCAATTATACCATTATATGTGTCGAAGAACCTACATTCGATATTTTTTGAATAGAATGAATTCTCTAAAATTTATAATAAAATTAAATTACCATTTAAATAAACTTGATTCATGCTAGGATTGAAAGAGAATTCACATGCAAATTATTATTATCATCATAATCGTTATCATCATCGTCTCATCACATCATTATCGTCATCATCATCGTCATCATCATCGCTAAAAATCAAAATCTGTCGATTCTAATTCTTGTTTCTTATCACCCTTTTTAGTTTCCTTAAGTCAGGTATCAATCATATATATAATAAATGTACAGTACCGCGGATTACCTCTTTATTATAAAAAGGTTTTTCTATTGCTTCAAACTCATCAACAGGTTCAGCACGATATCTATGAACTACTGTACTCTAAGACCTGCTTTATTTGTTTTAACAAATGCACCACTATGGAATTAAGAGAAATCAAGAGAAATAAAGTTATAAACCAAAAAATTTTTACAACTTTTAGAGAATTTTTATAATGCACAATTTAATAATAATAATTAAATTTTTATAAATGCGATCAACGTATGTACACTAACAGATCCCATCGTCCGTTAATCCAAAAGAATATAGCCTCTATTGATGATAATGGATTTGAATAGTAATTATCAAGTCGAGAAGATTTATCAATATACTAATAATTGTCATATTTGAGTATAAGTCTGAATTCGAAGTGTTATTAATTTTATAAGTAGGAATTTGTAAGCTTGTGTTGTCCTGATCAATAAGAACGAACCTGGAGGTGACCATAATAATATAATAAAATATAATAAGATGTAATAAAATAAATTAGTAATGTTTAAAATAATGAAAATAAAAATTCATTATAATTATTATAATTACATAGCGAGGCCAAATGCAATTATGACAAACAGCATGAATGCAAAGAATGGTCAAATAGTAGTTAAAATTCTATAAATGATATAAAATATAACTTCCTGGACTTTCAAAATATTTCATTAAATAATATCTATAAATAAATAAAATAATATTAATAGAATAGAAAATAAATAATTATTATAAAAATAATAATAATAATAATAAAATACTAGAAAATTTACTTCGTCCAGAAAAAGGAAAAGAAAAAGAAGACTAACCAATTGAAGCCACAAACTAAAATTGTAAACGCTAAAACAGAATTATATACTGATTTTGGCAAAGCGAATACATAATCACATAAAAAACCCGCTATATTATTGCTAACTGATAATAGATCAAACATATTAAAAATATTCATATATCTAGGTCCTTCTCTTATTATTTGCACGATCTCTCCGTAACAATTAAATAAAATCCAGTATATACATATATAGAGAGGATGAATTTTAATATATTGATTCTATTTTAAATAAATAAGCTATTCTTGATGATCCAAAATGATATAACGAATAAAATAAAAATGGGCATCTGACCATTTAAATTTAAAACTGTCATAATTGTAGGTGTCCGATCGAATTCATAATCTTTCTCTTCATGAATAACACGAAGGAAAGGACTCATTTGTTTATTATCATTAATAACTTTTCTATGTGGCCACAAAGATATCCGAAAAAGTTGAAAAAGCATAAGTGAAAATCAATACTTAAAATCAGGTAACGGGATTATATAAACTTTACGATCACGTGGAGTTTGAAACCTATAATATAGTTTTTAAAAAAAGACAGACAAATAGTAAAAGACAAAAATGACATAGCTCTTCTTTACGATCTTATGATCAATAATTATGATTACAAAAATGGTTTTTTTTGAACTTTGGTTCAAGACGTGGTTTTACTGCAAAAGAATACAATATCACATTTGCGTTATTTCCTTTCTTTTGATCATAAGGATTAATATGTAATGAAGGAGTGTAAGCTTCAGTAATTCCAAAACATGTTTTTGAATAAATATTATAAATTTTGAACAAATTTCCCTTTTTGAAGAATTAAAAGAATAAATTTAATTCAATTTAAAAATGATTAATCAATTAGTATAATTAAAAGAAAGTAAAGGTTTTAACTTACCTAAATGACAATCATATAATAAAGGTATTACTTTGCTTACAGTAAACATCCAACCGTGATTATTATATTCTTTAGCATTATCAGCATAATAATCTATTAATATGTGATCCGTCTAAGATCGGCACTATTTATTATGTAAAATCCGGGATAACAAGAAAATTCACTCATTTAAGACATGCTCTGGCTAATATTGACATTAGATCACATGTTAATTTAATGTTCATTTACAACCTATGTTTTATTAAAGTTGTGAACAGTTATAAAAAAGTTCATTATTGGAGGAAATATTTTTGAGTAGCCAGTCGATTATCATATGGTCCAGTGCCGATCTTAGCCGATCCTTGAATATATAAAATAAATCTGACTTTGATATTTTGGTTTTTGATCTATTATTGTCTTCATCTACCCATTACATACATAATCTCGGTATATATATATTACTATTGTTATTATTAATTTTCTTATTTAAAATATGTTTTATAAACTTTCTTGATAACTTTTAATAAGATATTTCATAATTAGATATCTAATACTTGTTAATCTAAATATTCCATATTTTGTTTTCTTGCTGATCTTTTGTACATTCAACTAAATATTTAATTTGATTGACATTCTTGAAACTGTTTACGTGTTTCTTTTCTCCTAATTCTCCAAATATATAAAGTGCTCGACGTGCCCCTTCAAGTACATTTACTTTATTTGGCTAATGTATCATCATTGTTTTTTTTGTTGAATATTTAGTAGAAGATACTAAAACTTTTAACTCAAATTCTCGTTCTCCAATTTTTAATTCGCTAACATCTATCACTTTATCCCGAGTCCAGATGTATTCTAACGCTCGATCATGTTCATCTCGTTTTTCTATAGTATTATTAGTACGATATTTCCATACTTGTATAGTGTTACGCGAAATAATAAGTTGAGTTCTTTAACAGAATCCAAGAAAACTGATATTCGAAAATATTTTTCGTTTTTATATCACGGTTCAATATTATCTATAATTATTTGATTTTTTTCTAATATGTCACATCTTTTCCCATCTATAGTATAAATTACATGATAGTCGTCACTCATAGTAATATCAATTCTGTTAGTACGTTGGTGGATTTTAATCTGGATGATCTAACACCGAAAAAATATCTCCATTTTCTCCAACCGCAAACATCTTTCCGTGGGAATTCATCAATCTATGTGTGATATCCATTTTTAGAATAATCAAATTGATGTATGGAATTTTCAAATGTGGCAAATAAATCTCATACTACAAATACTAGAAATTTCAGCACGAAGTCGATCTTCTGTTTCTTCAAGGACTAATAAAAGTTTACTATCATTATCAATAAAATTTATAGCAATAATTTATAAATTCCTCTTTGACCTTTTAATTGTTTAGTAGTTATTTCTAAACCATTTTCCATAAAGTATAATGTAATACTGGTAGTTTTGTTGTCGATTTTCAAAAGAATGTATCATAAAATGATTTTTAATAATACTCGTGCGTAAGAGTTATAATGAATTATGCCGGAGATCACGTGAAAGGCGATTTAAAAGTTTTTTAGGTAATTCAAATTTTTAATCTTAGTTGATCATGAGAAAAAACTTTATCATTTTTAACCTTATTGTAATTTACCTATTCTGGTATTATTATAATGTTTAAAAAAAGATTCACTCTTTACATACATTGGTATGCAAGGAATGCATTCAATTTGTCCATTCATAGAATGTACGATACATTAAAAAAACATTGAATTTATACGCACATATTCTATTATAAGTTGAAAATGAGTTTTATCGTTTGTGCGCGAAAACATTAATAAAATATTTTCTTTTTACATACCAAAAATGCCATTTGTATGCATAGAATGCATTCAAGCTCTTGAAAAATAATACGTAACTCATTATTTCTTTTTTACGTTATATGTATGTACACATTAAATTTATACGCATCTATTCTATAAATAGTTGAAAATGAGTTTTATTGTTTCGTGTGCGAAAACATTAATAAAATATTCTGGTTTTTATATTTTATTGTTCAAAAATATTTTCTTTTTACATACCAAAAATTCCATTAGTATGCATAGAATGCATTCAAGCTCTTGAAAAATAATACGTAACTCATTATTTCTTTTTTACATTATATGTACACATTAAATTTATTCTATAAATAGTTGAAAATGAGTTTTATTGTTTTGTGTGCGAAAACATTAAATAAAATATTCTGGTTTTTATATTGCATTATTTAAAAAATATTTCTTTACATACCAAGAATGCATAGAATGCATTAAGCTCTTGAAAAATAATAATTCATTATTTCTTTTTTTTCCATTATATGTACGCATTAAATTTATACGCATCTATTCTATAAATAATTGAAAATGTGTTTTATCGTTTCGTGTACGAAAACATTAATAAAATATTCTGGTTTTAATATTTATATTATATTATTTTAAAAAAAATACTTCTACCCTTACATACTAAAAATGCCATTTGTATGCATAGAATGCATTCAAGCTCTATTAAAAATAAATATTCCTTATTTCTTTTTTTCAGAAATTTATATATTGTATTTTCATAGAATGTACACTTATTCTGAATAATTGAAAATATGGATTTATTGTTTCGTGCATGGAAAGTTAATAAATGTAATTTTATTCAAGTAATTATAATTTTCAATTCTAATTGGACAAATTAAAAAAAAATACTCACTTGCAATTCAATAATAGATTAGTTTATACTTATAATCGAGTATAATAAAAAATATTAAATAAATATATTCTATATAATAATGTTCTTTTTTTAAAATAGAACATATCACATTTATGAACGATAAAATAGTTTCGGAATGAATTTGTAATCCAAACAAGGCAATAAAGATTAAGTGAAAAGATAAAATATATTCAATTCATTATATCTAATTTAATAAATATGCTTAGTATAATTATTATTTCATCCAATTGAACTTCATACTCGAAAAAGAAACCGTAAGTCTATTAATCAACAAATATTTTTGGGGGATTTTTTACGGTTGATATTGGAATTCTTTATTATTGAAATCAAAATATCATCTTATTGAATTTCTTGTAATGAATACAAAAAGATATTTTTCGTTTGATAAATAATATTAAAATAAATTTACATAAAATTATTAGCCTGATATTTCCGCATAGACAACGGACCTAATTAGAGATTGACTGAATTAACTTGTTAATCTGTATCACTATATATAATGATTAACTTGAAATTAAATCAATTCATTTAATGGAATCAGAAATTGTAGGACTAATGAAATTAAATATTTTTTTTGACATCTACCGCTGAGCTGCAGAAATCTATAGCAATGATGGAATATGCGAAAAAAAGAAAGAATTTTCAATACTTTCTCAAATTGCACAAAAATATTTAATAATTCCTACTATTTCAGTTCAAATAAATGAAAAGTGCACTAAATTAGGTTAAAAAAAAATAAAATAAAAATTCCATTGGTATATTAATTACATATATGCAAATTATACTCCAAAAATTTATTTCTTTTTATTTCTATCAGTTAATTGATTAATTTAAAATGGATTTACATATAATAGACATTGACACCCCCCAAAAAACATTTAACTGGTTAATTTAACGTTTAATTTATCGATTAACTGGTTAATAGTTGGTTAACTATATTAAATATTAAATTTGTTGATTTTTATTATAAAGATTAGATTTATTAAAAAAAAAGAAATAAATCATTTTTGTCAAAATTAGTAAAAAATCACATTGTATTCTCAATTTAGACATTGATGTGACATATCCAGTTAACAAATATCATGTTTATGTTTTCACAATCCGATGTTCATTAGATGAAAAGTTATATTTTATCATAAAGATAAGGACATTGTAGTGATACTAAAATTAACACGGAAAAAAAAGCAAGATATTAAAATTAAAATTCATCAAATGTGTAGTGAGTTTTTTATATTAAGAGTTCTTCATATCTTGAAAAAAAGCAGACCAATGAAAAGAAAATTACACTTTTATGGATGGAGGATTCGATGAGGTAAGACTAAGATGCTCTCTACGTTATAAATTTTTTATGTATTAAAAGTTAATGTAATTTTCAATTTAGAAGATGGAAGGGTGGTGGAAGAAATATAATTCCATTTCGCCAACAATGAGTAAACAGCAAAAGGATCAAATTGAAGATATTACTGACAAAATTCCGCTCTTCTTAAATGAATTGTTGAATTCTGATTGCAAGGATTTCGGAAATGCATTTGACTACTTAAATTAACAATTAATATCAAAGATATAACAGCCGATGGCGAATTTTTTCAAATACCATACCCCAAGAAAGATAGAAATGGTATGTATTTTGGTTTATTTCGTGATTGGTAAACTGTATGAAGGCTGATTTCTCCATTTACACAACCGTGTCAGCTTGGTGTTGCCATTCTTGATAAAAGAATATCCTCAAGTAGCAGAATTAATAATTTTGATTATCGCTTCTTGTACATTGAAAATCAACTCTGTTATTATGTCTGTGGGATGTACGGGATTGCATGACGAATTATCTCTATTAAAAGGGAAAAATGGAAGTATTTGCAAATATATATTAGATCGCTTGTATAGAGACTTTCAAGGACCAACCAACAGTAATGAGATTTATTGTAGAAAAGGCATGCATTCCCAACATTTGGAGAAATGGACTTACAGCAAATGGTACCAAATTTAAACCAAACAAAATGGGATATTTTCTCAAGGAATAAAAAATTTCTGCACGTGAAGAAACATACTAAGCATTTGGATGGAATTAATGATCTCTCATCAAACAACCCAAGGACGCATCAAATTGTATATTGCCCAATTCAGATTTCCCTGAATAAAGAAAGTCATTACAATCCGCAGGAAAGATTTTGCTAATGATATTTGGAGAGGATTAGAAATACCTAAATGCGATGATATTGAGATAATGTTTATGGATTACACGTAAAAGTGATGCGAACGAGGAATTCTAGGTGCTTACGGTCCGAAAATGAAGAAATTAGTCCTAAATATACTCGGGCGGTGACAGGATTTGTAAATGTCAGTCAAGATATCTATCTAGATTTTAAATGTATGATCGCGATTCATGAAAATCTTAAAATTTTTAGTCTAAAAAATTTCATATTAATTATATTAATTGTAATCGATTTAGTTAAAACCAAATTTTATTTTTTAGTGAAATTGCAAAATAATTTATGCCTTTTCCCCGTAAAGCTTCATCTGAGGGAAATCTTTATTTAGTTCATTGATTATAAACTAATAAAATAAATGAAGCAGTAAATGTTTAAAGGGAGAAGTATCTTGAGCCCTGACCCTTAGAACGAGAGTTCCTCATTTTATTTGTTTTATTACCTATCCAAGTACATATTTTATCTAAGCTACTACTTTTTTTTTAACTATTTAACCTCTTTACCAAGTAAATAGCATGACCAATATTTTGTAACGATTTACGTTCTTCAATCGAAACCTTCTTTTACTGATTGAATTTTGAAACAATTCCATTGCTACGTAATTACATTAGAAGTAGTTATTTATCTAAGGAAGAGATTTTAAAAAGTTACATAATGGAGCGAAGATTTCAGCTGATGAGCTAGACATATTTACGTATGGGCGGATATATTTGATATACGTTATTATAAAATATAAGTTTTTGTTAACGCACAAGATATAAAAAAACAAAAAGCGACGAATAACAAAAATTTCATTTACTTCCTTTTAAATTTCCACTTGCGTCTTCTCTAAGCTCTATTTCATGTCGAGATAAAAACACAAGAAAATGCAACGCTAAATTTTTGTGTCAGAATGTAGGATGTGCATTGAAGATCTCTGGGATTACGCATTTTTTTCGATGCATTAATGACGAAGTATTTAGTTCTTTTTTTCGATGCTCTGACATATTTGATTGTGTCCTTTTTTTGTAAAATATCAATGGCGAAGTTTTAAGTTTCTTATTAGATGCATATGTGCGCATACTGTAGATACTTAATAAAAAAAATCAAGTTTTATACTATTCAAAAGAAATTGTGAGTACATACCAAAATTGATATATATAAGCCAACGATCCCATACCAACGTAAGTATAATTTTTCACATATTCCAGCTTTTAGTATTTTACGTAAAAATAAATTCTTTTTGACTTATCTCTTCAATGAGCGAAATTAGTGAAGAAAAAGAAACTCAAGAAACCCAAGAAACCATCAATATTGTTGTATTGTGTGATGGTACTTTTAATGGGCCAACTACTGAAACCAACCTTTATAAATTGCATATACTCTTGTTATATGATAAGTATTGTAAAAATCAAAGTAAAGAAAAACAAGTGCCTCTCAAAATTTCTGACTATAAATGGTTAAAAAGTCTCAAAAAACAAAATAAGGAACCTCATAATACTCGTGAAATTGCTGATGGCGCTTTTGTCTATGAAGATCAATATTATGAAAAGGGAGTGGCTGAAAGGTTCAATCCATTGGATTTTGCGATAGCTCATAGTATTGATAGCAAAATCAAAAGGGCCTACAGACATATAGTTAGACGGTATAATTATAACAAAAATAATGATAACACAAATAATATAAAAATATGGCTCTTTGGTTTTAGTCGTGGTGCTTACACAGTGAGATGTGTTGCTGGAATGATACGAAATTGTGGAATATTGAAATATGATAGCAAGGAACTTATTAATCGCGCTTATGATCTTTATCGTAGTAAAGATCCGAAACATCATCCAAACGAACCGGAATCTAAATCATTCCAAGATTCATTTAGTCATCAAGATTCTACCAAAATTAAGTTTCTTGGATTATGGGATACTGTTGGCGCCTATGGTATCCCCTCATTTACAGTTGGAAAAGGAATTGAATATACGGAATTCCATGATGAAAATGTATCCAAGATGACTGAATATGCATACCAAGTTTTAGGCATTCATGAAAAATCATCTTTCTTTGAACCGATATCTATAAAGAATGAAAAAAATGAATGTGAAGAATGTGAAAAGAATGAAAAATGTGAAGAATGTAAAAAATGTAAAGATATCGAAGAGATTTGGTTTCCAGGGGATCATTTGGAGATCGGGGGAGCAACTTTATCAGTTGATAAAGAAATATCTAAAGAGAGTTTTCTGTGGATAATTAGAAAAATTATACGTGTCGGAGGTCTGTTTTCAGAAGAAAAAGAGGAGGAGAAGATTAAGGAGTGTGAAAAACGAATTAAAGAGATTCCTAAAGATCATTTTAGATCATTAATGCAATATGTACACTATTTAGTACCAGCTTATCATATTAAACGGGCTACCACCATCGTGCCATTCTGGGGTAGGAATAGAACTATTCCAATACGCAGGGATGATAACGGCAAGCTAACTTTCGATTTGCTTTATGAAAAGGGTAACTGGAATGTTAAAACGAAAAATACGAAATTTAAAAATATAAAAAATATAAAAAAACACAAATACAAATCGAATTCACTTGTTCGATTTTATGATACGATGGAAGATATTCTAATCGAGGAGTTGAAAGGGAAATATGGAAAGGATAATGATGATAGAACAGACGAAAAGGATAGCGATGACGAAATAGAAAAAATCCTGGATATAAAAGCTAATGTAAATACTAAATCTTTTGATGCGAAAACTATTTCAGAATTTAATAGAGAAAGGTTAATACATCGATATAAAGCACACGAGGACAAGAATTATTGCCCGATATGTAATTTACGCGACTCAATGACGGACTATAGCATATTTAATAGATTGGGAACGAAAGTACAACAGTTAAAAAACAAAATGTAGTATCATTTTGAACTTTTAGAGCTGTTATGAACTTCGAGATTATTTTTCGAATAACAAATATCCTTTAATTCAAGTACCTAGGCTTTCTTTAGTCATATTAATTTCGTATATAGGGTTTCATATAAAAAAAACATTTTTTTCCATTTTTATAATATTACATATAAAATAAAACTTAATATGTTTTAAATTATTTTCTGTTACTTTAAAATATAATATTTTTTCGAATATTTTGAAATGTATCTAAATACTTGAGTACTTATATTCATTCCAAATAGTTGAGTTTCTTAATTAACAAAATTATCAGAAAGATTTGACTGTAATATTATCCGTGATTTCTCTCAAGTTACATCTTATATATGTTGCTAAAGGAAAATCTTTTGGTTTTAAAATCAAATGTTATCAATAATGGCAAGATTCCAAATATTCTTGCCTTTTTTTTTTAAACACTCAGATGGAATTATATTACTCTTACGATCCCTTTCTTTATTTCTTTCATGTCCAATGACATGACAAGTGTTCAAAATGATAATGAAGATATTAATTGAGGTTTCGTTACAAACTTGCTAAAATTGTTGATAACAATATATTGTATGAAAAGCAATATTAATAAAATTTGAATTTTTTTTACGATGTTTTCTTTTGTCGATTACATATTTTTAATCTTATTTCTTCTTTTTATGTTATGAACCCAATGTTAAAAATTAATTTTTTTATTTCTTATTTTACCATAATTTTGAATCAAATAATCTTTCTTGTAAAATTTATTTTGATTTTTGTAAAAAGGTCTGATAAATTTTTAAAAATAAAATATTCTTTCGTATAAGAAGAAAAAATAGCAATTCTTAATATTTTTAGACAGCAACAGATTTAATTTTATAATTTATTAAATTACTTATTCCCAAATTTTATATTTAAAAAATCTCTTAAATATTTTTTTTAAAAAAAAAATAGCAAGTCTTTTAAGTAAAGAGAATAATCGTTGAGTTAGTTTGATGAAGAGCTTTTAAGCATGTGTATCTTATATTATATACATACCTGCGTTGATGTGTTGTGTGGTTTTTCTCAACTGAACTGATTTTTTATGCAATTAAAATATACATGAAACTATTGATACTTACTTGCAATGGTCATTGACTTCTTTCTGTCAAAAAAAAATTGTCGAAACACGTACGCTAATACTCTTTGTCATCGAGACGAACATTTGTGATTTTGAGGCTTCCTTGATGAGTGGCAATTTGTTCATGACCTTATAGTCATGATGATCGATTTTACGGTATAGCAAGCCACGCAACCCTGTTATTATGTTGCATGACGAATTATCTCTATGAAAAGGGAAAAATGGAAGTATTTACATATATAGATTGGATTGCTCGTATAGAGACTTTCAAGAACAATCCAACAGTAATGAGATTTATTGTGGAAAAGGCACGCATTGCCAACATTTGGAGAAATGGACGGTATCAAATTTAAATCAAACAAAAATATTTTCTCAGGGAATAAAAATTTCCGCAAGTGCACATTTTTACATACCAAGCATTTGGAACCAAAGGCCGATCGATGGACATTAGAAGTACTTATTTTATCTGTATAATGGAGCGAAAATTTCGGTTGATGAGCTAGACATATTTTGAGATATAAAAAATGGAAGTTTTTGTTAACGCACAAGTAGGGTAATTGATCCGCGGATCATATTATTACAGATTTGGATTTTAAAAGTTGGATCGGGTTAAGAATTTAGAACATCGGATCAGATCCGAATACAGATAAAATCCGATCGATCCGAATTTGCGGAACTTACGCATAAGATATAAATGTAAACGACGAGTAACCAATATGACCTTCAAATGTTTCGCAATTTCCACTTATGAGGTAAAAACATAAGAAAATGCAACTAAATTTTTGTGCGGGATGTGCATTGAAGATCTCTGAAATCATGCACTTTGACGAATATTTATATTTATATTTATATTTAGTTGTTCTTTTTGTGCGCTAATTATAAATGGCGAAGTTTTAAGTTTCTATTATAGAAGTATATGATGATAATCTTTTTTTTTTTTGTAAAATGGTGCCGCTAATGCAGCTGATTTTTACAGTTGATTTTGCAGCAGGATTCGAAAGCATATATAGTAATTTCCCTTTTTTTGGGAATAAATAAGACTTAATAGAATTCGAGAGCATATAGCAATCTCTTTTTTTGATGGTTAAAAGTTCAGTAAATTCATATTGCATAGTCAGGTTATATCACCATATGATATGCGCTTTAATATAAATATACATGCTGTCACACACACATGCGCGCATACACACACACACACAAAATCAAGTTTTGTAATATATATGCCATGTAAGTATAATTGTCAATAAATTCTTTTTGACTTATCTCTTCAATGAGTGAAATTAGTGAAATTAGTGAAGAAAAAGAAACCAAAGAAACCAAAGAAACCATCAATATTGTCGTATCATGTGATGGTACTTTGAATGGTCCAACCGTTGAAACCAACCTTTATAAATTGCATATACTCTTATTGTATGATAATTATTGTAATCATTGTAAAGATGATGAACCTCTCAAATTTTCTAAATTTAAATGGTTAAAAGATCTCCAAAATCGAAATCAGAAATATCGCAAAACTCGTGAAATTGCTTCAGGCGCTTTTCGCTATGAAGATCAATATTATGAAAAGGGAGTGGGTGAAAATTTTAATTTAATAGATACAGCGTTAGGTTATAGTATGATTGACAGAATCAAACGTGCCTACAGACATATAGTCAGACGATATAATGATAACAAAAATGAAGGTAAACATAAAGAAATATGGCTCTTTGGTTTTAGCCGTGGTGCTTTCACAGTGAGATGTGTTGCTGGAATGATACAAAATTGTGGAATATTGAAATATGATAGCAAAAAACTTATTAATCGCGCTTATGATCTTTATCGTAGTGGAGATCCAGACGAAGAGGAATCTATATCATTCCGAAAATCATTTAGTCATCCAGGCCCTCCCGTAATTAAGTTTCTTGGATTATGGGATACCGTTGGTGCCCAAGGTTTACCCTCACTTACAATTGGACAAGGATTTGAATATCTGAAACTCCATGATAACAATGTATCCAAGTTAGTTAAAAATGCATACCAAGTATTAGCCATCCATGAAAAATCAGTTTTCTTTGAACCGATACCTATAAATAATGAATGTGAAAAATGCGAAGAATGTAGAAAGGATGAAGAATGTGAAGAATGTAAAAAGAATGAAGAATGTAAAAATAACGAAAAATGCGAACGTATTAAGTGTGAAGAGTGTGAAAAGAATAAAGAATGTAGAAATAGCAAAAAATGTACGTGTACTAAGCTCGAAGAGATTTGGTTTCCAGGGGACCATTTGGAGGTCGGAGGAGGAACTTTTTCAGTAGATAAATATATATCTAATGAAAGTCTTCTGTGGATGATTAGAAAAATTCTATATACTGGAGGTCTGTTTTCAGAGAAACGTTTAGGAGAAAAAGAGTTTGGGGAGAAACGAATTAACAAGATTCCTAAATCTCGTTTTAGATCATTATTACAATATGGACACTATTTAATACCATTTTTTTATCTTAAACGAGCTAGCACCACCGTGCCATACTTGGGTAGGAATAGAAATATTCCATTATACAGGGATGATAATGGCATGCTAACTTTCGATCTTCTTTATGAAAAGGGTTACTGGGATTTAAAGGGTTACTGGAAAAATAAGAGATTTAAAAATATAGATAAAATAAGAAAACACAAATACAAACCGAATTCACTTGTTGAATTTTATGATACGATGGAAGATATTCTAATCGAAGAGTTTTTAGCGACAAATGGAAACGATGGCGAAATAGACAAAAAGGATGGCAATGAAGAAATAGAAAAAATCCTCAACTCTATTAAGGATAATCCTTTTGATGCGAAAACTATTTCAAAATTTAATAAAGGAAGGTTAATACATCGATATAAAGCACACGTGGTCAAAGATTCTTGCCTGATTTGTAATTTACGTGACTCGATGACGAATAATGGCATATTTGACAGATTAGAAATGAGAGTACGACAGTTAACAAATAAAAAAAAGTAGTATCATTTTGAACAACTTTTAGAGCTGTAATGAACTTCGAGATTATTTTCGAACAACAAATATCCTTTAATTTAAGTACCTAGGCTTTCTTTAGACCATATTAGTCATATCAGTGTCTTTAAATTATTCATATAAAAAATATATATTTTTCCGTTTTTAAAATATTATATATAAAATAAAGGCTTAATATGTTTTAAATTATTTTCCGCTACTTTAAATCGAATAATTTGAAATGTATCTAATACTTTTTGAGTACTTATATTCATTCCAAAAATGGATGAGTTTCTTAATTAACAAATTTACCAGAAAGATTTAACTGTGATATATCCGCGATGTCTCTCATATATATGTTGCCAAAAGAAAAGCTTTTGGTTTTGAAAATCAAATATTATCAATAATGGCAAGATTCCAAATATTCTTGCCTTTTTTAAACTCTCAGATGGAATTATATTACTTTCATGTCTTTCTGTATGTCCAATGACATGACAAGTGTAATGAAGATATTAATTGAGGTTTCGTTACAAACTCGCTAAAACTGTTGATAACAATATATTGTATGAAAAGTAATATTAATAAAATTTGAATTTTTTTTACGATGTTTCCTTTTGTCGATTACATATTTTAATCTTATTTTCTTCCATTTCTGTTATGAACCCAATGTAAATTGTATTAGGGAATTGCAAAAAAAAATTTTATTCTTTATTTTACATAATTTTACCATAATTTTGAATCAATAATCTTTCTTGTAAATTTTTTTTATTTGTTTTGTAAAAAAGGTCTGATAAATTTTTAAAAAATAAAATATTCTTTCATATAAGAAGAAAAAATAGTAATTCTTAGACAGCAACAGATTTGATTTTATAATTTATTAAATAACTTATTCCCAAATTTTATGTTTGAAAAATCGAAGTTCTCTCTTAAATATTTAAAAAAAGTAGCAAGTCTTTTAAATAACGAAAATCAAAATTTTTATTAGTATAGATATCAACAATTTATCCTCCAAAAGTACGTGGGTCCTAAATAATCGTAGAATTAGTTTGATGTGTATCTTATTATACATACCTGCATTGATGTGTTGTGTGGCTTTTCTCAACTGAGCTGATTTTTGTGTTATTAAAATATATATGAAACTATTTATACTTATTTACAATGGTCATTGTGTTCTTTCTGATAAAAAAAATTTGTCGAAACGCTTGCGCTAATACTCTTTTTGTCATCAAGGCGAACGTTTACGTTTTTGATCATGACCTGTATAGTCATGATGATCGATTTTACGACCACGCATATTCTCACATATTAATGTCGCTTCTTTCTACATTGAAAATCAATTCTGTTATGTCTGTGGGATTGCATGGCGAATTATCTCTATGAAAAAGGACAAAATGGAAGTATTTAATTGGATTGTTCGTATAGGGATTTCAAGAACAATCCAACAGTTAATGATATTTATTGTGGAAAAGCCAACATTTTGGAGAAATGGACTTACAGCAAATGGTATCAAATTTAAACCAAACAAAATAGAATATTTTTCTCAAGGTCTATCCTAAATACACTCAGGTGATACAGGATTTGTAAGATATTCATAATTACCTATCTGGACTTTAAATGTAAGATTGTGCTTCATGAAATTTTAGAATATTTGATCTAAAAAATTTCATGTTGATTGTAATCGATTTCGATTTAATAAAAACAAAATTTTATTTTGCAGTGAAATTGCAAAATAATTTATGCTTTTCCTCGTAAGAAGCCTCATATGGGCGAAAATCTTTATTTCATTGATTCTTATGATATAAACTAATAAAATGAATGGAGTAGTAGATTTTTAAAGAGAGAAGCATCTTAAACCCTAATTCATAAAATGAGAGTTCCCTTCTCAATACCTCATATTATTTGTTTTACTACTTGTTCAAGTACATATTTTATCCAAGTTACTACTTTTTAAATTGTTAATTTTAAAATAATAAGTAAATAGCATAAATTACTTGGCTAATATTTTTTAACGATTTAAGATGATGTTTACGTTTTTCATCATTAATTTATTTTCCATATCCTTTAAGATTTCATAAGGCAATCGAAGTCTTCGTTTTTTGATTGAATTTCCATTGCTGCGTAATTACATTAGAAGTAGTTATTTTATCTAAGGAAGAGATTTTAAAAAGTTGTATTCGGAGTGAAGATTTCAGCTGATGAGCTAGACATATTTACGTTATTTTGAGACATAAAAATGAGAGTTTTTGTAAACGCACGAGATAAAAATAACAATAAACAAAATTTGATTTACTGTCCCTTTAATGCTTCGCAATTTCCACTTACGTCGTTCCAAGTCGATGTCACGTTGCGGTAGAATAAAGCATGCATTGAAGATCTCTAGTTGGGATTATACATTTTTTGATACGCTGACATATCTATTATGCCCTTTTTTGTAAAACATCAATAATGAAGTATTTTGTTTATTTTAAGTTTCTTTTTTTTTTCGATGCGCTGACATATCCAATTATCGTAAAATATGACGAGTTTCCCATTAGCAAGCATATAATAATATTTTTTCTTTTTTCTTTTGGATAATTAAAGTTCAAAAATCATATGGAAAAATTTAAAAAGGAATTTTATACTTATAAAAAAATGCTTATCAGTTTCCTTATTTAGACATTTTGACCATAAGTTATGCTTTTTATATGACAGATCACTGTAGATACTTAATAAAAATAAAGTTTTATAATATTCAAAAAAGAAATTACGGGGCTACTGCAAAATCGGCAAAAAAATTGATATATATAACCAACGTAAGTATAATTTTCACATATACCTCCATTTACAAAATATAAATTCTTTTTAACTTACCTCTTCAATGGAAAAAAATAGTGATAAAACCATAAATATTGTTGTATTGTGTGATGGTACTTTGAATGGGCCAGTCATTGAAACTAACGTTTATAAATTACATCTACTCTTATTGTCATATTATGAAGCTGGTAAAACTCGCAGAATTCCTGGGATAGATTCTTTACGGTTTGAAAAACTCAAAGATCGAAATCTAAAATATCGTAAAACTCATGAAATTGCTCATGACGCTTTTCTCCATAAAGATCATTATTATGAATCGGGAGTGGGTGGAAAGTTCAATGTAATAGATTCAATGGTAGCTTATAATATTGATGACAAAATCAAACGTGCTTACAGACATATAGTCAGACGGTATAATGATAACGAAAATAAAGATAAACATAAAGAAATATGGCTCTTTGGTTTTAGTCGTGGTGCTTACACAGTGAGATGTGTTGCTGGAATGATACGAAATTGTGGAATATTGAGATATGATAGCAAAGAACTTATTAATCGCGCTTATGATCTTTATCGCAGTAAAGATCCGAATCATAGTCCAAAGGAACAAGAATCTGAATCATTCCGAAAATCATTTAGTCATCCAGGCTCTACTATAATTAAGTTTCTTGGATTATGGGATACCGTTGGTGCCCAAGGTTTACCCACACTTACAATTGGAAAAGGATTTGAATATCTGAAACTTCATGATAACAATGTATCCAAGATGGTTAAAAATGTATACCAAGTTTTAAGCATTCATGAAAAATCAGTTTTCTTTGAACCGATATCTAGAAAGAATGAAGATTATGAAAAGTGTGAAGAATGTAAAAAGAATGAAAAATGTAAAAATAACGAAAAATGTGAGTGTATTAAGCTTGAAGAGATTTGGTTTCCGGGGGACCATTTGGAGGTCGGGGGAGGAATTTTTTCAGTAGATGATGGTATATCTAATGAAAGTCTTCGGTGGATGATTAGAAAAATTTTATGTACTGGAGGTCTACTTTCAGATGAACGTTTAAAAGGAGAGAGTTTGTTAGAGAAGAAGTTAGAGGAGTGCTTAAACCAAATTGAAAAGATTCCTAAATCCTTATTTGCATCGTTAACACAACGTGTACTCCCTTTAGTATCAGTTTATCGTATTAAACGGGCTACTACCATCTTGCCATTACTTCATAGGAATAGAATTATTCCATTATACAGGAATGATAAAGGAATGCTAACTTTCGATCTGCTTTATAAAAAGGGTTACTGGGAAAATAAGAAGGGTTACTGGAAAAATACAAAATTTAAAAATATAAAAGATGTAAAAAAACACAAACACAAAAGGCTGGATTCACTTACTGAATTTTATGATGCGATGGAAGATATTCTAATCGAGGAGTTGAAAAGGACAAGCAGTGGAAGTGCTAGTGATGCTAAGGACGCTAATGGAAAAGTAACGAAGGCCAAGCATCAAGAACAGAATATAAAAGAGATTATTGAAATATATGAAGAAATAGAAATAGACAAAATGAAAAATAATCACGAAATATACAGAAAGAATAACGATGAAGAAATAGACAAAAAAGATAAAGAAAAAATTTGGAAACTGTTCAAAGAAATTGGTAAAAATAGAATAGGTAATATTGAATCTTTTGATGCGAAAACTATTTCAAATTTTAATATTGAAAGGTTAATACATCGATATAATGCACGCGTAAACAAAGATTTTTGTCAGAAGTGCAATTCACGTGATTTATTGACGAAGAAATAACAACACAGTCAAATCTTTCTGTTAATTTTATCTCTCCAGAATTAATTTATTGAAAATTAATTAATTAAGAAACTCAACTTGTTTGAAATGAACATAAGTACTCAAAAGTATTAGATACATTTCAAAATATTCGAAAAAATATAAGATTTTAAAGTAGAAGAAAATAATTTAAGCTTTTATTTTACATATAATATTATAAAAAAGGAAAAAACATATTTTATATGACACGTTTATATACGAAATAACTTAAAGACTAAAGAAAGTTTCTAGATAAAAGGATATTTGTTACTCATCAATAACCTCAAAACAGTATGTGGCACGTGATGTATCTCGAGTTCAAAAAGAAAAGCTTTAAATAATTGCAAGATTCCGAATATTCTTGCCTTTTTTTTTAAAACGCTCAGATGGAATTATAATGCTCATACGATCCCTTTCTTTATTTCCTTCATGTCTTTCTGTACGTCCAAGTGTTCAAAAAATGGTGTAATTAAGATATTAATTGAGGTTTCGTTAAAAATTGAATAATTTTTAATGATGAAATTGTTTGGAGAACTTTTTTACGATGTTTTCTTTGTTGATTACATATTTTAATCTTATTTTTCTTTTATTTCGATTGTGAACCCAATGTTAAAATTCTTGAATGTATTAGAGAATTACAAACTTTTTTTTCATTCCTTATTTTACCATAATTTTAAACCAAATATTTTTCTTGTAAAATTTTTTTTATTTGTTTTGTAAAAAAGGTCTGATAAAAAATAAAGTATTCTTTCTTATAAGATGAAAAAATAGCAATTCTTAATATTATTAGATTTAATTTTATAATTTATTAAATAACTTATTCCCAAAATTTATATTTAAAAAATTTAAGGTTAACATATACGTAAAGAAAATCAAATTTTTTATTAACAATTTTATCCTTTAATGAAATTTAAAGTATGTGTCAAACGTGTCACATATTTTTTTAATTTGTGGGTTCTAAATAATTGTTGAGTTAGTTTGATGAAACATGCAAAAATTATCCTTTATCTTATATTATATTTATATTATATACATACCTGCATTGATGTGTTATGTGGTTTTTTTCAACTGAGAGCTGATTTTATGTAATTAAAATATATATTAATAATGTAATTATTTTATAATTAGAAAAAATATTTTGATACTTACTATGCATACATTTTTACAATTATCACTTGATGTACATTGAACTCCGCAATAATGTTTTTTAGCTTTACATAAATGATCACCTCGATGACAAAGAGTATTAGCGCAAGTGTTTCGACAATTTCTCTTATCAGAATGAACACATTGACCATTGCATGGATGTATTTGAGGGCATTTATGGCTTCCTTTATGAGCGGCAAATTTGTTGCACTCCTGAGTTGTTCCATCAAAATGAGCAAATTGGCATTGCGAGTGACATAAGTGATCAGTTAAACAATCATGACCTGTATGGTCATGATGATCGATTTTACGGCATAGTAAACCACACATGTTTTTGTCACATTGGAAATGACAAAGTCTGGAAAATTACAAAAATTTAATTTCAGATTATTGAAAATAAGTTAAATTAAATAAATTTCCCAACTTACCCACAGAGATGATTAACAATTTGTTCGAAACCATGAAAATGATCAAAATTACATGGATTTCCACAATCTTTGATACCACATTCAACTGGACATTTATCACTTTGGCATTTATGTGTTGTGTGTTCTTTTTCACATGCAAGCTGGTCATCATAAATTAATATATTTTGTATAAGTGTTAAAAAATTATTAATTTCAATAAATTCATGACATAACATAATAAGAGTTGAGATTACTTACATTACAAACACCATTACACTTATATATTTCATTTGGAGTATCAATAAGTAATGAACATTGAGCTCCACAAAAATGGTTATTAGATTCACATAAGTGCGTTTTATCTTCATGTCCAAGCAATTTTGCACATTTATATAGGCAATTTTCTTTGCCCATATAAAAACAACGAGCATTACATCTATGTAATTGACCACATTTATGGAGTCCTCGATGAGCAGCGGGCTTATTACATTCAGGAAATATTTTATCAGTATGGGATACAAAAATTTGGCATGGAGAATGACACTTATGGTCAGTTAAACAGTCATGACCTTCATCACTATGTTGGTCAGTTCTGCGACACATTTGACCACATTTATCACATTGAGAATGACAAAGCCTATTAAAAATCATAATTAGAAATTATTCAAGAAAATATTAGATTATTGATTATTTATTTTAAATATACTTACCTACAAAGATGATCCATTTTTTTATCAAGAGCATGAAGATGATCAGAATTTTCACAATATTTTTCACAACCTTCAATAGAGCATTTAATTGGACATTTTTTCCTTAAGCATCTATGCAATGTATGTTCTTTTTCGCATGTAAGCTGTTATTATTGTTATTAAAGCGTTAACACATGTGAATAATAAAATCATAAAGATCATTAAATGCATAAATCATAATGCTTACAATACATATATTTGGACAATGATATTTTCCATTTATAGTGTCAATTATTAATGAACAAGGAGCCCCACAATAATGGTTATTAGATTCACATAAATGTGTTTCATTTCCAGATTTTTCTTGATGTCCAAAAACTTTCACACAATTACTCTTGCAATTTCTTTTGCCAGTATAAATACAGGGAGAATTACATTTATGAAATTGACCACATTGATGTTTTCCTTGATGAAGAGCAGGCTTATCACATTCAGGAAAGATTTCATCAGTGTGGGATCCAAAAATTTGACATTTTGAGTGACACTTATGATCAGTGAAGCAGTCATGGATTCCATCTTTGTGTTGATCAGCTTTGCGACACATCTGACCACACTTATCACATTTGGAATGACAATGTCTAGATGATGATAATAATAAAGTTATGTATGTAGAGATTATATTTAAAAATATTTTATAAACAACTTACCCACAAATATGGTTGGCGTTTTCTTTAAGAGCGTGCAAATGATCCAAACTTTCACAAAATCTTTTACAATTTTCAAAAGAACATTTAATTGGGCACATCTCACCTTGACATTTATGAACCGTGTGTTCTTCATCACATGGAATCTGGAGTTTATAATTCAATAAAATATTAGTCAATTACCTATCGATATGAACAGATCTAGAAAGAGTAGAATAGCATTCAATTATACGGAATTATTTCATTGTTCTCTTTAAATTTCGCAATTCCAGAACTATTCTCTGATCATGTGACTGCAAAATGATTTTTAAAATCTGTACGATGAAAAAAATACTCACGATGCAAGTATTTTGACATTTATGTCCTCCATGAGTTTTAACATTTAATGAACATGGAGCTCCACAATAATGTTCCTTGACCTCACACAAGTGCTTCTCGGTCGTTGGATGTAAAGCATTCTTCGCACACCTTTTTTGACAATTTTTTTTATCAGCATGGACACAAGGAGCTTCACACGAATGCATTTGAATGCATCTATGCATGCCTTCATGGTCCGCGAATAAATTGCATTCAGGCAAGTTCCAACCAAAATGTGTATCGGAATTAGTAAATTGGCATTTAGCATGGCATTTATGGTCTGTTGAGCAATCGTGACCTGCATCATGACGGTTGGTTTTTTGACATTTCTTATTGCACTTGTCGCATCGAAAATGACAGGTCCTATGTGACAATTAAGAATAATTTAATGTAAAAAGATATCACATACGAAAATCATAATTTAAGTGAATTATAACTTACCCACAAATGTGATTAACAATTTTCCCAAAAGCATGTAAATGATCCGAATTTTCGCAAATTTCTTCGCAATTTTTAACATAACATACAATTGGACAAGTGCTGCCATGACATTTATGTATTGTGTGTTGCTCTTCACAAGAAGTCTAAAATAACAAGTAGGCAAAAAATGTAAGAAAAAATGTAAGTAAATTATTACGAAATGAAACCTTAAATTCATAGTATCATAATACTTGCAATGCACGTGTTTTGACATTTATGTTTGCCTTTCCGAGTTTCAACATCCAACGAACATGGAGCTTCACAGTAATGCATAGTGGAATCACATAAATGCCTTTCGTTTCCTATAGTTTTATGATGATCATAATCTTTCATGCATATTTTTTTGCAATTTTTTTTCTTATTAGCGTAAACACAAGGAGAACTGCATCTATGAATTTTACTACATTCATGCCTATCTTTATGGCCAGCTATTTTAACACATTTTGGTATGAGGCCATCACTATGATCTCTAATGCATTGACATAAAGAATGACACAGATGATCAGTTAAACAATCATGCGTATCATTCGTATTAATGTCATGCATGCTAGCTTTGAGACATGCTTGATTACATTTGTTACAACTGAGCCGACAAATATTCCAAAATGAAGTAAATTTACTGATCCCTTGATTAAGAACATAATTCACGACTGAAACTTCATTGTGATCTTTTGGGAGACTTGAAATATTTTGTGTGGACCATTCCTGTACACGTTTTATCCGCCTATTTACAAAGAACTTAAAATACTTCTCCAGAAGGTCTAACCATTCGGAATCAGGGATAGAACCACGTGCATAAATATTTTGTTCAAAGGAGGATCTTAAACCTAACATATTTTACATTACAAATTTATATATATAAACAAATATATGTATTATAAAAAAATCGATATGATATTATTATTAACCGTACCTGATGAAATTTCGACAAAGTTCCCCTTGTCTTTAAACAATAGAAGTCCTGCATCAGGTATTAATTTACTTGAGACATCAACGTTCTTAATGTCATTAAAAACTTCAGAGAGTAATATTTCTTCATCAGGGATTTGTTTTCCATCATCTCGGCTCTAACAATAATCAAATTTTATTATTATTGAAATTTGATTAATTTAATTAATTTAATTAATTTTAATTGTTATATAATCATCATAATAATTTACTGACCGTAAGATGAGTAATATCATTCAAATCATCTGACACAGAAAATTGGTCATCATCTTTTTGTTCATATCCAAACGATATTGCGTTATTTAAAAATCTTTTCAACTCTGATGTTCGTTTGATAATCATTGTTTCTTGGATGCTTCCGAAATCGTGCTCTCTTTAATAAATCAAATACTTTATTATGAATTAAATAAATAAGACATATTAATAAAATAAAAAAAATTGAACATACTTTAAATTTCTCATTAAAACCTATCAGAGTTAAATAGAGTTAAATAAGAGTTAAATTAGGTTAATGATTTATGATAGATAAAAACAAATATTGACTGCTAGCTTATACCTTAATTTTTTCTAAAAACATTCGGGCATTTTTATATTTTGAATCTTGTTCATCCAATTTATTTTTCAATTCCTTAATACTTTTATAAAATGATGCGTCAGTAAACACTGGCCAAGGAAAAATGCACATCTTATTATGATAAAGTTTCGTTATGAAATTATTCCCTTCTTCCTAAATTACAAGAATTTCATTGACATTAATTTATCGTGGACAAGTAGATTATTCTCAAAGTAAATCAATTTGTAATATTCGATAAAAAAAAAATCTCATCTCACCATAGAGACGATTTTTGAGAGTTTTGTATGAAATTCTTCAACAATATCTTCTCTATCACTTATTGCAACATCTTTTATGATAATACAGAAACAAGCCTATTAAAAAGAAAAGAAAAAGGAAAAGAAAAACAAGGGGATATTTATATATATATATTTATTTATTTATTTTCCACAGAATTTTTGGTTTAAGCAACCTTACCTGGAATATGTCAGGATCATTACCGAAATAATTTACTCCATCATGAAAGCGTTGAAACATTGAAGAAATATCCCGACTGATAGCAAACTGACTTTTAAATAGGACAAGGTTAGAAAGAGCTGCGTTGAGTAGTTGTAAGTAAGTTTCTTCCTGAGCTGTTCTTTCTATGCTTGCAAGCCCTATAAAAAGATTTACATAAGTCAATCTTTTGTGGGCAGAAATGAACAAAAAAAAAATAGTAATTGTAAAAATACCCTCAAAATCAAGAGCAACATAAAGAGTATTATTTGCTTTAACTATTTATATATATATATATATATATATATATGAAAATACATGTTAAATTTTAAAATATTTGAATGGATTATGGATATAAAAAGAATTCAAAATTTACCTAATGACATCCATACACCTTCAGTACAACGCTAGATATGAATTAAGTGTTAATATAACAACAAACAAAATCCCAATAAAGAATAATAATAATAGTAAATAATTACCATAGCAGATCCATCAAAAGTTGATCCAATACAATGATTTAATAAATAACTCTTGCCTTAAATAATATAAAAATATAAAAAATACATTAGAATTGTAAAGATAATTAGTTAACCGAATTCAAGCGTAACCTACCACATGATTGTTCACCCATTGAAGAGATTACTTTTACTTCAAGGGTAGAATAATAATCAAATATTGCCTCATACCATCCAAATGAAATTGAATTAGATATATTATCCAATGTGGTTTGTTCAATTTCGGATAATAAAATGCCATCTCGAAGTGGAATAAATTTATTATCTCTTGTAACAGCTATTTGAAGTGGAATCAAACAGAAAAAATCAATCATCCACCTATATTATTAAAATGTAAATACGTAAGTAAATGAAATTAAAAAAAGTTACGATTTAATTTTTATTCACTTACTCTCCAAGTTGATATTCCGTACACAAGCTTGTGAGATCATTGAGGTTTTTAAAGGTTATACAATCGGTTCTAAATTTTTTTAAATGTCCGATTGGTTTTTTTGTTTCTTTTTTAAGTTTTTCAAACATATCAATGAAATATTTTTGAAACTTCTCCTTGTATTCATCTATATTTAAACTATCGGAATCTATCACCATAGTTACGGCCAATTGATTATCAACTTTACCAATAGGACTTGAAATTGCATATTTCGTAAATACCAATGAATAAACATCAATCAATCCATTAAAGGTTTTTCTTTTCTCAATCATGAAAGGGTTCCATTTATCATACTCAACAGATTTAAATGATTGAGCATTAATCTTCAATTCAAAATCAGACATGATCTCAATAACTTCCCGCTTTTCATTACCAATGATTATGAAATCTCCAATGTAAAGGTCTTGAGAAAATTTTATGTCTTTACCAATGATAATAAATGGGTTTTCTGTTTGTATTTTAACTTTACCCATATCTTTTTGAGTTAACCGACGTTCAAATCGATAATTGGTTTTTTGCATGTGTGATTTTGACCATTAAAGATTGGAATGAGCCGCTTTGCTGATCGATTGTAGTTAGGTGAAGCTGACGATCGTTAATCGTTGAAAATTGAATATCAGTTGATGCATGTTTAAATGGAACTTTTATCACTATATCTGCATTTTGACTGAAATTTTCGGTATAATAAATATGTCCGCGAATCACATCAATCACATTAATCATATCGTGATTTTGTGGTGAAGAATCTTCTTTCGATTTTTCTTTTACAAATGCAATAATACATGTGCCATCAAGCGTGCTCATTGCTTTGAATGTGTTATTTGGGAATTGTGCAACCCCTGGGTAGAAGTCATCATTCATCAAACTATAAATACGAGCTCGACCATTTGTTTCCACAAAACAGATGTTATCAGTATTCTTTACAAAGAAGAAATACGCAATATTGGGAACATTTTCGTTATACCATTGTCTAATTTGAATATTTCTATATGCAAGATTTATATTGGAATAATCTTCTTCAAATAAATACGAGTTAAGCTAATAAATAACACGAAAAAGAGAGATAATCAGTTCAATCAATTAAACATTTTAAGATAAACGAAAGTACGTACGTACGTATTAAATACATACCATCCCCATATCATTATTATAAAGCGCAATTAAACCTTTTGGTTCATTAACCGCTATCATAAAATTTTTATTTGGACTTAATTTCTTCAATGCTTCCTGTTTTTGAATAGTTATTCGTAGATGAGAGATAGAACCAAAATAGATTTCCAATCTCTGGTTTACTTTATTCCAAAGAAACACGAGAAATTTCTTTTTAATGTGCACTATGTGTCTAAATGAACAAGAATAATTTGGTTTTCGATCAAAATATAAAATATTATTCACATATTTAATCATTATTAAACAAGATTATATATAGAATCATAACTTACTTAAATTCATAAATTTCCGGATCAATTTCAAAAGAGATCCCTGAATTTTTGCCGTAACGTTGTAAAATAGGTTTAGGGATAAATGATTCATCTTTTCCCATGCTGATCATATCTGCTTGACTGAATTGAGAGTTATAAATGGTAACACATAATTGCGGAACTTTAATTATTCGATTTAAATTGTATTTTTTTTTATGTTTATTAATCATCCCTTCTGTAAAATCAAAAAAAAAAAAAATAAAATAATAATATTTATTATTTATTATAATTAAAATAAACATTAATAATAAACATACCGGTAATTTTTACACCCAAAACCTTTAATAGATTCCCTGTTGAACAATTTGATTCAATTTGATCACAAATTGATTGAAAATTTTTTTTATAAATTTGCTCTCGTTTTGTCTCAAAAATTTGATCACTTTTTCGATTAATTCCATCTACGTGTTTCTGAATTATTGAATTAATAATTTTTGGAAATTTTGTTTTTTTCCAATCTTGATAACATTTATGAAATTGTTGTATGATGTATTCACTATTATCACCAGTATTTTTCAAAATTTCTTGCACGAATTCATTGTCTTTGATTTTTTTGGCTCGATCTTTCACCCCTTGAACGATATCATCAACATTTGAACTGCCACCTTTTACATAATTCGTCAGTCTTTTAATAATTCTTTGATCATTTGTATTTTTTGTGTATTTGTCTATTAAAGAAAAGATATCCTTTTCCGAAAATATGTCTACGATCGTATTTTCTATAGGTTCATGAGTTATGGAATTATTTGAGATTAAATTATTGCTAGAATAATTTTGAGCAAAGATGAATCGAGCCTTATAATCATTCCATTGTGTATGATCAATGTAACTAATAGCCTCATAAATTTCTGTCTGTATACCATTATAAGATTGGTTAATTCTTTTAACGGCTAAAGTTTTTAATATAATTGTAAAAATAAAAGTCAGTAATTCACATAATTCATTTATTATCAAAAATCATGATATTAAACTTACTTTTATCATCAATTATTGAATTTTCTTCTTCTTGTTCTAAAGATATGAATTTCTCAAAGATTTTATATGTTTCTTCTAAAATTTTACATGCAATTTTATTGATAATATTCATATCATCTTGAAGTTTTTTCTCGAGTTTACGTGTTTCGATATCTTTCTTATCATTAAGAGCCTTCAAATCTGAATGATATGGTATCAATAAATCTGGAAGTTTCAAACCGTCATTTACAATAATTTCCAGTTCAGCCATTGTAACTTTACGATCAATCAATAGTGAATATTTATTCGTTTTAAGTTTTTGCTGAAAATACTCCTGAAAATTTTTTTCCGAACCAAACACTTCATCCTTCTGATCGGAGATCCTTGCCGTCAGTAACATTTCTCGAGTTATTAACATCGGGTTAGAAATTGATTCAACTACTAAGGGTGACAGTTTTGATCCATCACGATCAACTAGTTTCTCGTGATAAAGCTTCAAAAATTTTTAGAGAATTAAAATGACATATATGTATGTGTATATGTTTTTTACATTTAATCAAATTAATATTTTAGATTCAAAGAAATACGCACATCAAATCCTGGAAATAGTTCAAAATTTCTCTTTTGCTCATCACGTTTTTTAACTTCAAATGTATAATCATCATCATCGTCATCATCATCATCACCATCAAACCTTTGCCAGTTAATACATTCCAAATCCTTATCTGACATTAGGCATATTTGATGTTCACAGAGCTTGGTGAGATACCTAAAATTTCAAAAAAAAAAAAAAGATAAAAAAGTTTTATGTTATATAATTAATCATAATTTTAGTCCATACCTATGCAAATTAGTCATGTTTTTCTTTTGATATGATGATGCAGAATCTTCATAACAACCATCTTCACTCCAATGAATAAGTAAGAATTGAGGAATATCGAGATCTTGTTTCTCATTATCCGAAGGAAGTTTTTGAATATAGATGCCAGGACTTAATGTTGATCCGGTTACAACGTTGGAATCATTATGAATCAACAATTCATATCTACATTTGCAACATAATTAATAAAAATCTGGTATAAAAAATAGATTAAAGAATTTACTAAGTCAAATAGTTTACGTTGACTGGTTAATAATAGCCTTGCTCAGCAAAAGCTTCGCTATAAGTTCGTTTCGACCATAACATCCAATAAGTTGAAAACGACGAGAATTCAGCCGATCATAGCGAATTTTTGCAATAGATTTGAAACTATTTGTCACCATTTCATTACAGAATTTTTCTATATGCTGTTGTGAAATAATGACCTTATCAACTTTAAGTATCATATAACCAATATTAGAGATTTTTGTTCATTATTTTGAGGAAGCAAACATATGGTTCGGTTATTCTTTTTCATACCGAGTCCGTTTGTGCCTTCATCTTTACACAAATCCAGAAGGCGATAAAGACCAGGAATCGAATCACACAAATCATTTTTAAAAATAGGTTGACCGTCTGTTTGATCATTGATAGTCTTGTAATCCATTTCTATTTCATCGTCAGATACATTTTCTATCGATATCAAGCATAGATGTGTTAATTATTTCGTTGATTAAGAAAGTGCTAATTTCATAAAAGTCAAGATCCAAACTAGCTTCGCGGGCGAAACTTTTTTTTTTCAAAATCAAAATGTTTTGTCTTGTTTCGCCCTCGGCACTAATAAATCTTTATCAGTGAATTAAACTCGTGAAATTATAAACCGTAAAAATATATTATGTTATGATTGTTAATATTTAATGGTAATATCCACATTTGATCATTGAAGCCGAACTATAATAGGGCATCAAGCTGAGCCGAGTCGAAACTAAGCAAATTAGTTCAAAAGGTCAAAAGAAAATAGGCATTCAGATCGAAAATGATCAATACGCTACACTCAATGACATATGATTTTTAATCATTCTCCTTCATAAGTGTCTAAATTTAGAACTGCAGACGGAATAAAAGATGAAATAAAGAGAGAGCTAACAGTTCACGAATCTTAAAATAAATATCAGACAATATATAATTCACTAATTTTCCGAAACTTCATGAAATCAGCTTTAAACGAGACAGACTATGTTTTATTTCCTTTACCTTCTTCCCAATGGTCGTAATTAATCATATTCTCTGTCGAAGTGCCAGCACTATTATTAATATCTTCAAACATTTTTTTCTATTCTACCTTTCACAACAATAATATTGAGTCGAGGTTTACACTGATATCTAGAATGCTCGTAGTAAAAAAATCGAATTTGAAATTTTGAAACAACTTTATATAATGACAATGATAATTTCTCTTTTTGAACCAAATTTTAAAAAATATATTATATTATGTTTGCCATTATAAAAGATTTCCGAATACGTCTATAACGAAGGAGCAAACCGATCTTTACTCCGCTTTACACAACACATATTATGGTTTCGCGAAGATAACGGTAAGTGCCATTTTTGGATTATCAATTGTTCTGAAGCTGGATTTTTTGTTAAATTTTCTGAATTAAATAATTAAACATAATTCTATGGAAAACCCGTGACCCTTCTATATTAAGTTTATATTTCTCTTTATAGAGTGAGAGGTTTATTCTTAACATCTCTAGTAAAAAAAATGTCATTGTTTAATTTCCTAAATTGGAATTTCCTTTTAAATCCGATTTCTTATCACATCGTTATCTTTCCGAAGTCATCTTTATTAATCTTTATTAGGCTCATACAAGTCAAGTTCTTGTTTAGAATGACTATAATACGCGAACTTCTCCGAAAAAGATCCATTCATACAAAAAAACAAGGATTGTACTCGTTCAAACTCAGATCTCTTTAACTCTTTGTCATGTTTAAAAAATCGAGTAAGGAAATCATGACACGTCGCGTATTTTATTTTTATTGTAAATTTGCGAAATAGCGAATTTTAAACTATTCAAATTGCCTTTTTTAAAATCAGAAAATTCTCAAAAGACTAATCAAAGATCTTTCACGGTAAATTTGGATAGACGTCAAGGTAAAAATATTCACATTGCCATTCTTGATATTGAATTATCATTATTATATCTTATCTATATTGTCTACAAATATTAAAAATCACTTCTTTGTGAACGCGAGATTATTGTCACGTGCTTACTCGAAACTTTATTATCTTTTTAGATGAGAGTGATGACCAAGAATCCGTAGATTCTCAAACAGATGGTCAAAATGATACTGAGCACGATTTATGTAAATCAATTCCGGGCCTTTACCGTCTTCTAGATGTATGCAAAGACGAAAGTTCGAATGGTCTAGGTAATGATGGATTAATTATTCATGACTATTTTTTTTTAACTATTTATCTAATCGTGTGTGTAATTTTCCTATAGTGGATAAGATTATTATTTCGAACAAATACATGAAAGAACTTTGCAATGAAATAGTACCTAATAGTTACAGGTCGATTTCAAAAATTCGATTTGAGCAGTTAAATTGTCGCCAAGTCCTTCTAATTGGATGTTATGGTAGGAATGAACTCATTGCCAAATTTCTATTTCGGAAAGGTCTTATTGATCAATCCGCGTAAGTACCGTAACCGTTACAAATGTTCATAGATCTCTGTATCAATTGTTACCTATAATTCATTCCATTTTATGTTTAAAATGTAGATATGAATCGCTTTTGATACCTTATAATTATAACTCGAATATCGATAATGGAAAACATATTAATTCTGGTTTAAAACCTGGTATTTACCTTAAAAAACTTTTACCCGATGATGATGAAATTCCAAAGTTCATAGTTTTATTCTGGAGCGAGGATGGTTGTTACAAAGGATCTGCGTCATCATATCTAAAGAAAAATATGACCAACTTTCACAGGTTAGCTTTTTTGTTCATTTCTTTTGTTTAATTGAAAAGGACGTAAAAAAAATAATGTGACTTTTGCTGATAAACACAGATATCTAACAAAAATTACAAGCCACCAATTATGTCTCATGGACGGTATGTTACATATGCATTCTTTTTATAGTTTATGCAAGATTTAAAATACTCATGTATGTTTTTATTGGTGATGATAGATGATGACTTGGAAAGTTTCGACTGGCAAGTATTTAAAGAAGAAGATGATGAGGCTGTTGATTCTGATGATGACAGTATATGTCACACCTTTGAGGTTAAAAAGAGCCAGGAGCAGAAAGAGAATTTTGAATTTTCTCCAGGTTTTAATTTAAGTTGTTTTACGTATACGATTTTCGCGCATAACGTAAAATGAGTAATTGTTATATAAAATTGTGCTGACTTATTCCAACAATTGTAAGATACCATTTCTAAAATTAGCACAGAGCTTCGTGTGTAATGATGGTCCTCCTTTACATCCATTGGTTGTTGAATCTGTTTCAAATCAAACATTCATTACTCGTGAGATAATACCCGCCAAAAAAATTACTGAAACGAATAATGAATCATTTGATTCATCGTCAAAATTTCGGGATTATTTTAGGAAAAAACTTGATGTGCAAAAGTGTTCTCTCAAATTTGATCGGAGTCAAATGACTATTGAAAAATTGGAAACCTTCGTCAAGAATGGCCTGTCACTTCCTGAATTTCCTGAACTTTTTAGACTTTATAACGAATCCTTGAAGTCTCATGAAGAGGAAAGAATTAAAATGAGACAGGATACTAAAAATAAGATTAATGAGGATACGACTATCATAAAACAAATGGCATATCAACTTGTGAAACAAACTTATAGGTATGATACGTTATCATGATATTATTTTTAATATAAATCTAATACAAAAAATTTTTTTAAATTTTTTGTAGCAATTTTGAAGAGAAGACAACTGATAATATTAAGATATTATCCGATAAAACCGTTGACGATGATGGTAAGTTGAATTTAATAATGCTTTCATTGGACCTTAAGGTCACTTTTTTCCTTTGAGCTTGATCTTATGGCAATTTCCTTTTCCTTATGTCTAATTGGCCCATTCTAACAGCATTTGAGTTGAATAATTTGACTAATTAATTACATGTCTCCGTTAAATATTCGCATTCAAATAATAGAAATCATTCGTTTAGAGCAAAAGTATCCTAAGGTTCATGCCAAGCTCTTAGCTTTAGTTAAAAGCATCACTCTTGATTCTTGGGATTATTATAAGAATCGGTTTACCTTTGCAAAGAAATATGCTGACAATTCTGATGGGCAACTTCAAGATGATGTTGAAAATGAAAACATCTCTGCCCAAAAGATATTCTTTGATGCTGAAAGCAATTTTATTGCATTGGTGAAAAAATATACATCGGAAACAACCTGGTTTCGGTTGACTTTTTTTTTTGGTAATAGCGATAATTCAAAAGATAAAAAAGATAATGCAAAATATATAGTGGATAAAATCAAAGAGGCGGCTAAAAAGATTCCTGATAGTGAATTCATGCTTCAAATTTCTGATTATGGTGATGAAAAAATAACAACGAAGTTTTTGGAAAAATATAAAGATTGGAAAAAATATATATTTCATGAAAATTTGAAGCAGATTATTCGAAGTTTTGAACAGGACACTGAAAGGACTCTAAATCAAATGAATGAATCAGAATTTTCGGCTGAAAAGCGGCAAATCAGAGAGCAACATCTTAATGAAATATGTGATAAACTTGAGGCAAAATATCCAGAAGGTGATCTTTTAATGGTTATGAATGTCGAATGCAGAGGTATAAATTAAATGAATTAGCGACTTAATGAGCAGATTTTGTAAATCCTGAAAATTCAATAACTTGATGTTTTGCCTTAAACGATTAGAACATGGATACTGGAGAAACTGCTCGTATCATTTATTACGTTCAATTGAAATTCCATATCCAGAGCAATTATGCGTTACTATCTACAGCACGCAACTCGGCCAAGAAGATACACTTGAATTGAATAAGAATAGACAATATGTTCCACGACCAATAATCTCGAATGGTTTTGGTGTGGCTTTAGAAATTGACTTAGAAACATATGATTTCAAGTAATTATTCTTATATCATCTTATCTAGTGATTTTACTTAATACCATTCTTAAATATTTTTTTATTATAGATACATCGCTCAATTTAATCGAAAGTTTCTTATATTTCTTTGGAATAAAACTGCTCACAAATTAGAAATTTACTTTGAAACCACCTCACGGCTTCAAAAGGTTTTAAAAGAACAAACAGCATTAAAAAAGCTCAGTCCGAGTAAAAATTTTATGATATCGTTAACGAATCAAAAGGCTTGATGGCAATTTATGATAACGAGAAAGGGAAGGTAAATAATTAATGTTAATTGCTATCTGTAAAATTGCTAATTATGATAACATAATGCTAATATTTATTTATTGTAATGTCGCACAAGCTTGATGCATACAGTTTTGATGAAGAACGTACAAGTCTCCATCTGCAATTTCGTAATATTTTACTTCAACAATGGTATCCGGATATTCCTGAAATTTCTCACTTCTTCTTCATCAAGAACACCGAAGACATATGTTTTGTGGAAAGAAATGGCCACGCACGAATTTATAACTTGATCAATGATAACTTTAGACCGGGAATAGCTCAACTACCTGTCAATTCCCGTAGGGTATTAAGCACGCCAGATGGTACTTGCATTGTTGCATTTGTGAAGGAGATAATTCATTCTGATGATGCTCATACAACCGAAATACTTGCGAATGTTACTGACTGTCCAAAGGATATAACCAGTATACCCGAGAACGTTATTGATTGTGAAATTTCTAAAAAATCTGAAGATAAAAAAGAAATAACAGAAATAATTACTTCTCAAGAAACCTTAGTTGTGGATGATTTGACCATAACAAATACGCAACCAGATGGTGCTAATGAGCAAGAAAATTTAATCAATAATGTTACAAAGACAGAAACCTCTGAAGAGGTTGTTCGTGCACACATATTTTTTTCAGAAAATTTCACCCAAAGTGCAAGCATGATAATTGACGTTCCATTAAAAAATCCTTCAGTTGAACTTTTTCAATTTTCTTCAATTGAAATGCAACAGATTCACCTGACAACGATTGATCAACACGATGGTTCTTTTCAGTCGTTAGTAGCTAAAATTTCTCATGCAAAGACAAAATATCGATTCGAAAAATTATTAATGGAAAAAATGGTAGGAAGCGTGAGAATAGAATCCCATGATCCTTTTATAGTTCACGGTCTAAATACAAATTTTACCAATGATATTAACGTGAAAGATTTCTTAGTTATTGGTAATGAAAAGCGTCAAGTAATAAAGGTCATTTCCAATAATGAATTGAGAATTTCAAACAAATTATTTGAATCCCTTGAATATGGCAAATGGATAAAATTTACAATTGAACCAAGAACAACAACAAATGGATTACTTGACGTGTATTCAATGGTTTTCACAAAATATGCGATAACAAATCCGATTGGCCGAACGGATAACCCATTGAAATTAACAGCAGTGATGGATCTGAACTCGAACGAATTAGATATAGATGAATATGATAAAAAGGCCCAAAAATACATTAAAAAATCATTTGAAAAATTTAGAAAAGATACCAAAAAACCAATTGGTCATCTCAAGAATTTTCAAATCACCTGCACAACTATGAACGATTTTATCCTGGAAGGAGAATACACTAAATACAAATTTGGAGAGTAGGTTGTTTTTTGTATTGCGGTCGAAATTCTAATTTGTTATTTTCAGATAATTCCTGAATCTGAAAGTTCACTGGCAAAACGTTTCAGATTTTACGAATAGTCGCCCTTAAAGTTACAGCCGCGATAGATAATTGATTAATATTAATCATTGTTTATTCTTTTTAAATCACATCACATTAAATAGTTGGGCCATCGAGTTATTCTGCTTAATTCCTATACAGATTGCCGTTGCAAGGGACAATGAATTCATTCCATATCGAGATGGTGTGTCTATACAGGAAGCTGAGCAACCGGCATTAGATGATGGTTTTGGACTTATCGGAAGTGTTTCAAAGTCTATCTCTTTTGGATGGTACGAATCTATATTCGATTATTATGCCGACCTTAAAGTTAAGGTTATTTCTTCCATGGGAGAACAATCTTGTGGCAAGTTATATAAAAATGACAGCTTTCATATCTCTTTCATTCTACTTCATATGACGATTTTAATATTTTATGTTTTTAACAAAGGTAAGAGTTATCTATTGAACCATTGCATTGGTTCAACTTTTGACGGATCTGCAATGGTATGTAATGATGTAAAAAAATTCAATAAATATTTATTATTGTCATCCGTTAACATTTATGATTATTTCTTAGCGCTGCACAGAGGGCGTGTGGATGTCATTAGGTAAACTTCTGATTGTACATAATTTTTGTAATTGACTTTTCTCTTATACCTCGATTAAAAAAATTTGATAATTTGAAGTCAGAACGGATGATACACTTTACGTTGCGCTTGATTTTGAGGGTATAATTTTAATGCTTCTAATTCTTTAAAATATGATTTAATGATGCCTGGACTGAAAGCAAAAGTTCTTTTATTAGGATTGGCAAGCATCGAAAGATCAGCGCAAGAAGAAACTTTCTTACAACTTTTAAATGCGGCTCTTTCAAACCTTGTGCTTTTTAAGAGTCAATTTGCAGTCAGTAGAGATATTTCTTCTATGTTTCAACGTTTTCAAGATGGTTCAAATTATTTTGGAGACGATCCTGACATTTTTCAGGTACGCATTCACGTAAAACAAATGAAATCTCTCTCTTGAAAAAAAAAAACTATAAATATATACATATATAAATTAATTTTAATAATTTATTATTTTTTCTTTAAAGGCATGTTTCTGCATTGTTATCAAAGATGTCGCAAAATGTGACAGAGATGATATTGTGGATGAATTTCATTCAAAATTCGCAAAGATCGTTGATAAAGTATGTAATTATTCTGTACTATTTAACACAATAATATGAAAGTAGTAATATATTTTTTATTATTATAGGAAGAAGAAGACAATTTTATAACTAAACTTTACCGTAATAAAATGTGCATATATCCATGGCCAGTGTTCACCGATCAAGCATTTTATACGAAAATTAAAAGTTTTAAAATTAAATTGGATGAACAAGAATCTCAATATGAAAATGCCAGAATGTTTGTAGAAAAAATGAAGGTATGGATAATTAGATTCATAATTTTTTTTAATGTAAAAAAATTTTTTTTAATAAATAAATAAAAACGTACATATAATAGATACTGATGACAAAATTAAAGTGAGTTTAATATTGATAAAAGTTGTGTTCATTGCGACTATCGCTCATTTTTAATTTTTTTTTGGCAAAATTTTTTATAAAGAATATGTGATTGGGGAAGTATTCGGGCAACATTGATCACTGTGAGAACATTAGAGTTAAAAAAGTTTCTCAAAGACGCAATATCTTACGGTTACGAGCAAAAAGATGATTCTTTCGAAACTCCAAAAGAAAATCAATCTTCAAAATTCGAACCAGATACAACTATTAAATGCCTTATGGTAAAAATGATAAGAATTTTTTTGTTTTTTTTGGTATAATACTTTATGTTAATTTTATCTATTTTAGGGTCGTGACGATGGAATTCCAATTCCTGATTGTGATGTATCACTATCTAATACTTTTGAGAACGTTGACGATTCTCTTAAATTAATGCCCGATACTGGACTTGTGTTACTCAAGGATGGTGAAAATTTCGTCAAAGTTTCATCCGGTTTGTGATCCCAAAATTAAGTAAAATCCTATTAATTATGACCTATATAATTTAATTAAAATTCTTCTCATTCAGATTTAAGGGAATATTTTGAAAAACATATTTTTGCTCGTGGGTCCATTCCTGATTCTAAATGGATGGTCAATTTGGATAAGTTTTTCAAATTGATTATAAATCGTCGAATAAGAAGGGTGCAGGAATGGTTCACAAAAAATACTTCGAAATTTCCTAAAGATCATAGTGAGATATATACAACAAATTGTGTACTGGATCAAGAAATTAGCCGCCTCAATTTATTCTGGAATGTTTGTCGCCTTCGTTGTGAAAATTGTGGATTAGCATGCCTTAAAGCTAGTCGTCATGAGGATGTTAAAAATGATGCAAAACATGATTGTTTGACCGATCACAGGTGTCATAACAATTGTGAATTCGAAGAAGCCCATAAAGATGAAATTCCGGAATGTAGTAAATTTGCCGAACATCAAGGAAAGCATAGGTGTCCCGTTTCGCATTCTTGTGGTGCCCCTTGTGCGTATTCTAAAAAAGGAAATTGTTTAACGTTCTGCGCAAAGGAATCTGGACATCAAGATGTTAAAGGAAACAAAATTCATTTATGCGAATCAGAGAAGCATTTTTGTGGTGCTCCATGTTCCTTGAAAGTCAAACCAACAAAAGGAAAACCATACGAATGTCGAAATACATGCATCGTAAGCATCATATCTATAATGCTATAAATGTTGATATTGTATTACTTTTCAAAATCATAAATAAGTTATACCTTTCTAAATTAGCTTCCATGTGAGTTCTCTCATACGCGTCACGAATGCCAAAGTATAGTGTGCCCAATTGAATGCCCAGTAGAAAATTGTAAGCGACTGTGTGAAAGTAAGGATCATTTTCATAGTTTAGAAAAAGATATGAATCATTTTTGTGGGTAAGTAATAGCAAGTCTTCTTTTATATATTCAAAATTAGACGTCACGATTGAATTGATTTATATATTTCTAGAAATGAGCATCCGTGCCCCGAATTATGCGAAGAAAAAGGAGTATGCATGATTGTGACCGAACCAAAAAAAGAAGAAGTTGAATATGTGCACAAGTAAGGAATCTTTTGAATAATTTTTTCATTAAAAGTTTTACGAATCTGATATGATCCTTTTTTATTACAGGGATGGAAGCTTTATGTTTACAAAGGTATTATATGTTTTAAGGATATCAATGGACTTGTTTTTTATTTTTCTAGGATAATCGATTACTTTTTTTGCGATTATTGTAATAATAATATTATATTATTACATATTTAGTATACACAAATACACCAAAGATTACAATGTTGTATGATGATTCCAGCATATAAGTTTGACCATAAAGAGGAAGGAAATCATGTCCATGGGAAGGCTCATGTGTGTCATTCAGATTGTCCAAACGATAATGGGAATCATATTAAAGAAAAAGATAAAAAACAAAATTTCCATTATTGTGATCAGCAATGTCCAAATTGTGCATATTACGTAAGTTTTACACTGTTTTTATTTATTATTTATTTTCATTGAATAGTTCTGATTTTTTACTGTAATTATTTTTTTAGTGCACTTTACCTTATGATCATGGAAAAAAACATAATACAGAACATTGTAATTAAATATATATAATCTATAGAAATGTTTATACATAATTCCTTGTTCCATTAATAACTAATATATTACAAATTGGATTGTTTTAGCAACTGTTCATGGAAACATGTATTTAACAACATTTACTTGTGAAGATTTCGAATTTGAATTTGATGGTATTTAATTATAATTATTGTTCTTGATTACATAACATTTAATTTTTTTTTTTTTTTACACGATTTGTGGCAAATTACTTGAGTTATGCGTCAACAATATTAAAAAAGCATCCGATGTTATGTGTAATATTAAGGAATAACTAATTATATTTTAATAGGTCACAGATTAAATGTTGGAGACAGAGGAGATTTTGTTTTATGCCACAAAGTAAGTTAAATTGTCAATTGTGTTCAAATTTGAAAATATTAATCTTAAATAATCTTATAAAAAACTTTTAGCTATGTGAGAATGTTGGTCGTCATCGGCATATAGATTTTTGCATAAATCCAATCTTCTGCGAAAGTGCAGGTGGTAGAAAGGAAGGTGTATTGGAGCACATGAACGGTATTAACTTTCATGACAAATTTTATATAATTTATGAGGAATGCAATGGATTTTATATTTAACATAAATTTTATCTATCGGTTCAAAAAATAAAAAATATAAATAGCAAGTATCAGCCCTAACCCGGAAAAGAAAAAAGATTATATTTCTCATCGTGTCTTTTGGGAACGAACTAATTTTCAAGGTATTCATTTAATAATAATAAATATATATATATTATCATCAAAATTCTGTATATTAACTTAGGACCACGCCACGTTGTACATAGATCCATACTCTAAAGATGATCGTGATAAATTTAAAAAATGTGATCATGAATGTGCAGACGAAAGACATTATAAGGTTGACGAATATAGCGGAAAAGAACCAACGAAATCTTATTGCACATTAGATATTTTTCATCCCAGCTTAAATCCCGCCTCTAGACCTCCAAATGGCATAGGTTATATTTCAGCTGGTGGTCATCAGGTAAGAAGTATGCGAATTCAGTTTTTTCATTTTTAACAAAATTTGATTAATATTTTTTTATTTTCCGCTACCAGTTTTTATGTGAGAATCCTGCAACCAGTTTTGGAGATTTTCACATCGTGTTTGTTGTTGATAGAAGTAGTTCAATGTCTTATTCTGATTGTAGACCTCCTTGCATTAGAAGAGCAACTTGCGTTTTACGTAGCTCGCATGATAATCGATTAGGTGCAGCTTATGAGGCAGTTTATACCTTCATCTTAACGAGAAGAAATTCAAGAAGAACAGCACAAAATGGACAAATTATTGATAATGATACAGCATCTTTAATTCTTTTCAATAACTCGGCAATGATCGCTTTTGAAAACAGAAGTCTAACGAATCCGGATGAGTTATTACAAATAATGATGACATATAATTTTACTGGTGGTACTAGCTTTGCTACAGGAATCAATGCTGCTTCAACTATAATTCAGAATTACCATAACCCTTTAAAGTAAGTTGATGATACATTAATTTATGTACGTCTACATTCACAATTCACATTTATAACAAAATTTCATATGTTTATTTTCAGAACAAATGTAGTTATTTTCTTATCGGATGGTTCTTGTGAGACCCCCGAAGAAGAAGTACGCTATCTTTGTTCACGAGAAAGAAATCGAGGGTAAGTTACCGAAAATTGTTGTAATGCATAAAATATATCTTAATTAAATTTATATTAAATCTATTATATTCTTTCTCAGATCATACTTATTTTTGTATACGGTTATGTTCGCTGGTGATGGTCAACATGATAGTTCGTTAAAAAACATGGCCAATATAGCAAATGAGTATCTTCCGAAGACAAAAGATAGACAATCTCTAACGTGTAAATATGTTCACGCAATTGATGGAATCAAATTAACTGAACATTTCACTTCGGTTGCTGAGAGCCTTAGAAAACATAAACCAATCCTGATGAAAGATCATTAATGTATTGAGTACTAATTATTCTTTCGGTTTAAGATAAAAGAACTCTAGAAATTATGTAAATTGTACACTTTTGTGATCTATATCATGCACTTAATAAAAATTCTTTAGCAATAATTTAAAAAAAATTTTTTTTTTTTTTTAATATTGACTTCAATCAAAATCAAAAATCAGTTTCATTAAAACTGATTAGTTTATTGAAAAGAATTAAAGAATTAGAACAATATTTTTGCAAAAAAAAAAGCCTTAAGTATTACCACCAAATGGTAAAGAGTTCTAAGTAATATTTTTGCAAAGAGCTGCGTTTTCTCATTTAAAACCAAGTTGATTATTAAGGTTTGATACAAAATCCCAACGATCAGACAGTTTATAATCAAATCCTGACAAATAGCTCTCGAAAGTTTATAATTGCGATGGTTTTCAATGAAATGAATAGAGATACCCCGATTAATTGAAATTTTTATTCAAAAATGGGGAGGATATATAATTTTTTTGCATGCATATAATTCTCGGATTTCTAAATACAATAAAAATATTTGTTTTTTGAACATCACGTGCAAGTTATATAATAATTGAAAAGGTCCATTGTGAGAAAAAATGGAAAAAATGAACTTCTAAATCGAAGGGTTACGGAACCACCAATTTTCGAGTATTTAAGTTCTCTCTATTCGTAAATGTTTTAAAAATGTTAAGATATGTTCGATAAAAAAAATACAAAAAAAAATAAAGAAGAAGTTCACTACGCTGGTGATTATGATGTTAACACTTCCTCTTCCTTGCTTAAGCATGGTTTCGACGCCATGCAAATAGTTGGTGATGCTATTCAACCATTTCTTCCTTTATTCGGTACTGTTACAAATGTGGTAGATGGTTTATATACCACATATGATAACGCAAAATGCAATAAAAAAATATGTTTGGCTTTAATTGACCGCGTTGAGATAGTTCAACATGCTGTCAAGTCTTTAGCACGTAAACAACAAGAAAATGAAGAAAATTTTCGTAAACAAACATATTATCGTTCATGGATTAGATTTGTCAATGTGTTGAAAACTATCAAAAAATTTGCTGACGAAATATCACAACAATCAGTGTTTCAAAAATTTTTGAATGCTAATGCTGTTAAAGATGCATTTGATAAAAATATCAATGAATTTGAGGCAGTATGTAAGGATTTACATTTCACAGTGGCAATGTATTCCGAGGAACAAAAAGAACAAGAAAGTAAGCAAGTTTCAGAAGATATTAATATATTAGGAAGAGTAAGTATTGTTAAAGTCAAGTCATTTAACTTTTTTTTTTACCATTTTTATTATAATTCTCTAAATTTATCATGTATTTTTATATATAACATATAGGTAATGAATGATATTAAAGAAGATATGAAAAATGTTTTGAAAGAGATTAATCTTTTATCATCTAATGTGGAACAATTAAAAGTCCAATCAGCAAAACGTGGTGCTACTTCTAATGTAGAAAATCCATTAAATGATCAATACAAGGTGCCTTCCATTGAAGATTATGAACTTACTGATCCGGACGGTGGACCTGATAATGTAAGAGGAACAAAAAAAACTGTTATAAAAAAAATTTATCGTGGCTTAGAAGTGGCATGTAAAAAAGTTCAGAATATTGAGAAAAACCAAACAGCCGAATCTCAAAAAATTCAAACAGAATTGGCCATCCTCAATCTACTAGGGAGATGTCCCAAAATCATTCTTTTTCATGGTCTTTCAGAAGTGGATCAAAATAGTGTCATGGTTCTTGAATGGGCTTCAAATGGAAATCTAAAAGAATTGTATACCAAATATGACATTGCTTGGCCTACGAAATTACAATTTATTCGAGATATATTTAATGGTCTTTATTTTATGCACAGAAGTGGAATTCTTCATCATGATATTCGATGTGAGAATATTTTGGTAAGTGATAATAATTATATATATTTACTTTAAATAATTTATTAAATCCGTTTTAATTTATTATATTCATATAATAGATAACTGAAAATTATGATGCAAAAATATCAAATTTTGAAATGTCTCGTCTATTTCAAGATGAAACGACATCATGTTCAAATATGAATGATTATGTTCGTTGGTTGGCGCCTGAAAAAATTCGTGGTTCGCGATACAGCCATAAATGCGAAATGTTTAGGTAAATTTTATTTTCAAATGATTTTTTGATTAACTCTTTAATTAAAAAAATATTTTCTGTAATTTTTAAAAACTAGTTTAGGAATGCTAGTATGGGAACTTAGTAATCAAAGGATTCCATACGAAAAAATGAATTTAAAAGAAATACAAGATCATGTTTTAGATAAGAAAAGAGAATCTTTGGGAGTCCTTTTACATCCAAATCCAATTCCGCTAGAATTTACCAAATTTATTAAACAAGGTAAATAAAAATTATAAAAATTATAAAAATTACTCATTTATTTATTTTATATATACATATACATATATATTAATTAATTAATTATTTATTTATTGTAGCTTGGCAAGATGAGCCGTCGTTACGTCCAACAGATATTCAAGTTAGTTATTTGATCAAAACTTTATGCGAAAATCATTTGATTTTAGGGAATTCACCACGACTTACCCCAAAACAAGGCCCCAATAATGATATTGGATATTTTAACCTAAATCGACCAAGTCATCTAAGATCCGGTAGTAATTATAGTGTTCCTAGTCCTGCTGATTTTGATCCCGAGAATTTGCCTGATACCTTCGATTGTGCACTTGACAATATACCCAATGCAATAGTTAATATCATAAAACCATTTGAAGATGGAATCAAAGCACATAAAAAGAAGGATTACAAGGAAGCTTGGGAATGTTTTAATGAACATGCTGATTTAGGACTTAGTTTAGCAAAATATTGGAAAGGGTATTATCTTTACACCGGATATTATGTAAAAAAAGATCAAAAAGAAGCTTTAAAATGGTTCAAGATGGCAGCAGATGAAGGTGTTCCTGATGCACAACTTCGTTATGCATTTGGATTACTCGAGACTGGTAATGGTAATTCTGAAAATAACGAGATTATATTACAATATATGACACAAGCAGCTGATGGAGGAAATGAAACTGCAATGTATAATCTTGGAGATATTTATTACAATGGAAAATTAGGGGTGGAAAAAGACGTTGGAAAAGGAATCGACCTAATTAAATTGGCAGCTTTGAAGAAACAACCTAGAGCTATTGAATTTTTGAATTCTAATAAAGCAACATATAAATAGACGTTTATTATTATTATTTATCTGTATTTTACATTATAAAATCAAACTTGAACTGTTTTGAATAAATAAAATTAATCACTACAATTTTTACCAACTTTATAAACATTGCTATTTCTTTAGCTTTTTCGGTTTTATATATATACATATATAAAATTACAGTATCGTCCCTAACATAGTGACAAACATTTTTATATTATTCATATACTGTACAATGAAACTATCAATAAAGATTGGTTTAAACTTAACAAACACATGATACAAATAATTAACTATGTAACTGGTTATCAAGTTCCTTTCGTTCGAGAGTTTTTTTGAAAGTTCTGAAACAGTACCAGTTTTTTTTTTTTGATTCTATTTAGGGTTTTCGCGTTTTTTATCATTATAACACAAATTATATAAAAAAGAGATATCTATCCGTGGGTAAAAGAAAATATTAATAAAATAAGGCTATAAGTTAGAAAAATAGATACTCTCTTTCTCTTCCTTTCGGAAATGCATTAGGAGAAATCTAAATTAAATTATAATATAATGATAATATATTTTTTTAAAAATATATATATATTTAGAAATTTTAATTAAATTAGATATTTTTACTAGAGACATATCGCGAATTTGCAGAATTTGATTAGTATATTTTATTAAATAATTTTGAGGTTAATAATTTTTAATTTATTATATATTATTATTTTTTTTATATTAAAAATTTGTGATGACATTTTCTAATTACGTACCAAAAGTGGTCGAGGTAACATCATAAAAAATTTGATCGTGGAAATATTAATACAACGTTACATATTTGTTTTGCATTGTTTTGTAAAAACCTGTTTGCGTTGCTATTCGTTCATTTGATTAAGGAAAAATAATAAGATTTACAAGTAACGATTAATGGATTTTGAATTTTTTTTTTTAATAAAAAAATAATACTTACATCCTTGTATCCATTTCTCCGATTTTGTAGAAAGAAGAACCTGTATACCCACAATTTCAGCTTCACGGAAGTAAGGGGGAGAAGAAGAAAAAAGGTGAATAAATTGTTTTTGAATTCCTTTTTTTTTAAAAAAAAAAATAATAGCAATAAATACTTATGTCCTTATGGTCCATTTCACCGATTTCGCTAGTTTTGTGAAAGAAGAACCTATGTACCCACAATTACGGCTTCACAGGATAAATGATAGAAGGAAAGTGAAGAAAAAAGGTGAATAAATAGTTTTTTAAATTTTTTTTTAATAAAAAATAATAATAAATACTTACGTCCTAATATTCATTTCGCCGATTTCACGAATGAAGAACTATGTGCCCACGATTGCTGCCCTACGGAGGTAAAGGGTAGAAGGAAGGTGAAGAAAAAAGATGAATAAATTTGATTTAAAAAAATTTTTTTAATAAAAAAAAAAATAAATACTTACATCCTTACGTCCGTTTTGCAGATTACACCGATTTCGTGAATGTGCACACGATTATAGCTCCATGGAAGGCATCCAATGTTTTGAATTGCTATAACTTTATTTCTAAATTTAGAAATTAAAAAAACACATAGTTTAATAGCTCTAGTTAAGCTCTATAATTCTATTTAGCGGCATTTGTAATAAGGCACGTAGGTGCCCGTGTTTGATATTTAATGTGCTAAATGTGCGCTAGCACAAAATTTGAAAACTCCGCACATAAAAAAGGCATTCGCACAAATTTTGCATATAATTTTTAAATTATGTGTAATATTTAAAATTTGAATTTCAAACATTCCGCACAGAATTTAAAATTTGAATTTCTAACACGGGTGCCCAGGTACATGATTCCGTAATAAAAATACAGTTACAAAAATATTGCATTTAAAATTATTCTCACTCAAGAAAAACATATGATATCGAAACTATTATATCTAGTCAGACCTCTGGTTCCACTATTTCTAGTAATTCACCTGCCTTCTCGATCTTCAAACTTAAAACCAGATAAGAGAATATATAACTATTAAAAGAAAAAAAAAATTCAGGTTAATAATAACTATTACACTGACAACAAATATAATGAGTTGGCGGAATTGATAGAAATTTTTGTGTTTCGCAATTGATTAACAACAATACTATCAATAGACTTTGTTTTCGAATCACGTATTGCTTCTATTTCCTTCCGAAATTCTTGAAGAGTTGTTGAGACAGAATCTCGAAACTTTACTTCTTCTATATTGTTATTATCTTCTGCTAATGTTTTCAATTTTTTATCAAAATTTCTGAGATATTTATCGGAATATCTGATAAATGAATCGAGATTATTATTTTCGGCCATAGATGTTTTTATTATATTGCTGTGAAAAAAAAAGATAAGTAATTGATAATTATTTTCAGGAAAATATATGGCAGAATCCAAAATCTTCAGAATAATAGAAATTCTAGAGTTAATTTTACAATATCTAGTAGACAATAAATCTCTTTATTCAACTTTTGTTTGTTAATTCGTTTTTGGTATTGTAAATGTGATTCGATATTACTATGGAAAATATTGAGATGGATGATCTAATACAATTAGATAATTACATGTTTCAAGAAGCCAGTGTCGTCAAGATCTCAAAGAATTACTATCACTCACACAATATAAAAAAGCTTTTGAAGAAAATAATTCAGATATTTGTAGTTATTGTAGTAAAAGTGAATGGAAAGGTGCAAAGTTAATAATCATTATAACTGTGCCAATTTTTGCCTCGCTGATGAATTCTTCATATACGGTGTCTCTTATTTTCCCAATTTTACAGATATAAATGTATCGCTCTAATCATAATTTGTGCTCTAATTGTATCAAAGTTTCCAACTTGCTTCATAATGAACAACATCATTTGAATCCCGTGGAAGCTAAAGATATTTCAACAGATATCTCCACTCCCAACTACAAAAGAGGAATTATTGGTCCTGGTACATGAGGAGAAACGGTGAAGATTGTCACCAGAAACACAAGAACAATATCATAAGGTTGGAACGCGACCCTACGTGCGGCAAAGATTGGATGGATGTCATTGACCAGATGCAGCATGGTTTGGTTAGAGAATTCAGTTATTCGGAAAAAAGCAAATATTGCGTCTTGCTCCACAGCTTTATCCAGGTAACGAGAAAATTCATTTTTCTATTATGTTTTTCATTTTTATATTTTTTTTTTGTCTTTTTTAGAAGATGTTCGTAATAACATTGCTCGCTTTGGAGATCTCACAGTCGACACCCGATTGCCCATTAATTCACTTAGAATATTCTCAAGACAAGAAAGGTTATAATTGCCCAATTCTTTTGTCGATCAGGACACCCTCTCGTTCTCCTTGGTAGTTCATATACCTGTCCATTATTCCTATACATATTTAGGCGATATCGAACGTACGCAGATTTATAAATGATTCAAATCCGAGTTAGTGATGTTTGGCAATGTCGTATCTGTAAAAGAGAATCTCACAATAAAAAATCGTTTAACCGCTGCTCGTGAAATGGTCAGGTAGATACAATGGATAATAATTTCATGCTCCATGACCATTCCGTTTTTTTATTGTTGAAGATGGCATTTCGAAACTTGTTGGAATGTCCAAAGAAGCGCATTACGATACAACAGATCTGGTTAAGTGCTTAGATAGTCTTTTAAATGGGACAAATAAATAAATAGAATAAAAGTTGTCTTTAATTTTGTTTTTATAACTACTTATATTGTTAAAATTGATACAAACAATTATTTTAATTTTATCAATTAAAAAAATTCACAACGACGAAACAAAATATTAAAACATTAGATTAACAATATATTGTTTGGCGAAATTTTAAAAGTATTTGAATTTATAGAAATCAAATCAAATAATATTATTGATCAGTAATCAGCATAGATAGTTTCAGACATGGTTTATCCTTTAAACACAAAAATAATCTTATAATAAATGGCAAATGTCATTATTATTAATAAATAAAGATAAAATTATTATACAAGTCGATACATTTATTTTAATATTACATTTCATTACATATTTTAACCCAACAAAATACAAATCCTTCTTTAAATAATTCTTTCTTTAATCCTTCTAAATTTTTATTCTCATCAATCAATTCACTTTCATTACTTTCATTGTCTTTACCATTTCCATTCCATAATCCAACAATTGTTCCTCCTGATCCAGTAAATTTAGCAGCAAATCCATATTTATTAGCTAATTCAATCATTCTTAAATTATTATTACCAATTACTTTTTTACCAAAGATTTCTTTTCTCAAATTAAAATTTTCGTTCATCATTGTTGCTATATATTTTGATTTAAGAGATGAAGAAAGTGACAAATTCAATAGTACATTTTTTGTTTTTTCTGCCAATGATGCTAATTTATTCATTGCTTCAATTATCTGTCAATAAATATAAATATATATTATTATAATAGATAAATAAATAAGTATATATATGTTTATTATTATAACAGATAAATAAATATATATACCTTTTGATCTCCATTTTCATATTTCTTTACTACATCACTATGAATTTTTCCTGTTTTATACCATGAAAATAATTATTATGATATTTTATTGTAATATATAATATAATATAATATAATAAATTTTTAGATGTATTTATTGAATTAAGCTTACCAGAATCACTGGGATTAACTTCATATGCAATCCAAAATCCTTTAGGTAATAAATTTTCATCTATTCTTTCATATTTACCAATTCCACCATTTTTTTCCATTAATTCTTTTTCAAAATCCATATACATTAATCCTCCAAAAGATTGTAAAACCCTGTCTTGTAACCCTGAATTTATTCCTAATTCAACCTTTTCAACATTATGTATCAATTTTGCTTGTATTGTTAAAGAAATTACTTCATTATTAATAGTATAAAATTTCATTAATCCTTTCCAAAGTGCTGTTATTATAGCTGATGATCCAGCTAAACCAACTTGTCTTGGAATATTTGTTTCAACTAATATATTAAATCCTTGATCATGTAGGAAAATATTATTATTATGACAATATTCATAAAATACTTTACAAGTTGCTTGAATCAAACTGTTTGCATTTGAATATCCTTCTGATGAAGAAATTAATGATAAATGTTGAAGACTAGAAAATGATGTTGTAACTGAAGTAAATGTTGGAATGATTGTAATCTTTGAGTATTCTTGATAACTTTGTGTATTATTATTTATAAATTTATTAGGAATTAAAGTAACCTCAGTGAAAAAATTCGATATTAAGAATGAAATAGTTTTTCCATAAAATCCATCAGAAGGATTTCCCATTAATCCTATACGGGCATATGAACGTGTAATAATAGGAATTGTTTGATGAGAAAAAAGATTTAAGGAATAATTTTTTTGTTTTAGCTTTAATGATTTATGAAAAGTTGATAAATAATCAGATAAATTTAATGAAGGATTTAACCATCTGAAAATAAAAGAAGAAACATTTAACAAATTAATTAATTTTGCATCATGATTATAATTAATCATAAATTGTAAAAAATTCATAAATAAATTATTATTCTCATCATATTTCAATGTTAAATCCTTGATTGATAATAAATATTGTTCAATTAAAGATAATGAATTTGAAAGGAATACACATGCCAACAAATTGGAAATATCGAAATTAATATGTTGTTTCTTATTTGGCAAATTCATTAATGATAATGTCTCACTTGACATCAAATGATTATAAAATATAAATTTGTTATTTTCAATATCATCAAATAACAAATTTATAAAATAATTATCATTAATTGGATCAATTAACAATTCAGCTTGTATGATGATTGTGATGTTATTCAAACCTTTGATTTGTTTAACCAATGCAATATCAGACATAAAATTTTTACTTTATAAAAAATAAGTAAATATAATTAATAGTTAATTAATAAGTTAGTTGAAATTAATAAATTAATAAATTAATAAATTAAATTAAATTAAATTAAATTAATTGGTTTAAGAGTTAAATATAATTTGAAATACAAACTTATGATCATAATTAGTTTCACCATTATTTATAATATGGAATTTAGAAACAAAAATTGAATTTGCCCATCTCAGATATTTGGGATAACTTTAAATAATTAATATATCAAGAATATTAATAATATTAAATTATAAAAATATAATTATTAAAATATTTAAATATTTACTTATGAGCATTAGTTATGATAAATATATCACCAGTAATTTTATCTTTTAATTCTTCAATTACCCAATTCAAAGCAGGTTTCCCTGAAATCGGTAATAATGGTTTTGGAATTCCATATAATGAAAGTATCTCTGAATCATCAAATTTTTCCTATTTTGAATATATTATAATATTAATAATTCTATTATAAAATTTTATAAATCATATAGTCAAAGAATATAAAAGTAAATACTTTTATATCAAGTTCAAGTTTGGACTGCCAAGAAGTTGCTAATATTATAAGATCAAACATTTTTCTCTTAATTAAATTACTTCAAACGTTTTTAAAAAGACAATCATTTGCATGTGTAACATTTAATTTTATTTAAAAAAATTTTTTTTTTTTGAAAATCTCGATTTTGATGAAAATAAATAAAAAATGCTAAAGGTTAAACATCAAAAATTATTTTCATTCTATTAATAAAAAAAATTTGTCTATTCCAATTTGATTAATTTAATCTTTTAACAGTCATATTATAAACAATTATTTTTGAAACAATTTCACAATTACTTTCAAAGGTAATATAATCAAAAATAATAATATAACGTAACAGAAAATGAAAAATTTCAGCAAATTATTATTTATAATTTACAGAACGCCGCCTCCAATCCCCAAACAAGTTCCTCGAACTTCAAATTATTTTGGAAATGAACGTGTTGATGAGTTTCAATGGATGCAAGATCCAAATGATATTGTTTGTTTTAATAATTTTAATAATTTCACAAAATTTACATGATTTACATGATTACGTACATGATTTGCAATTTTAATTTCAGGGTGTTCAAAAATATATAATTTCCGAGAATCGGTAAGTAAGTAAACATTTTGTCATATTAATAATTCTATTATTCATATTTATTCTATTTATTTTATTTTAATATAGATTTACTGATAAAATTATGCAAAATACCAAATTATTACAAAAGAAATTACAATATGTAAGAATGTGATAATATCCATATTTCATGGCAATTATCACAATTACATGAATACAATAATAATAATTATTATTATTAGGAAATGAAAAAAAAGTTGATTACACCTGTAATGCTACCACCTGTAAAGACCATAGAAAATGGATATGAATATTATACAAAGCCATCTTTATATGGTGATATCTATTATCGGAGAAAAATGTTTGATCGCTCTTCTGAAGTAAGATAAAACTTTTTTCTTTTTGTTTAACTTTTTGTGTGATAATAATAACAATATAATAATAATGATATAATAATAATGATATAATAATAATAATAGGAAGTTTTATTAGATTCTAATTTATTTACAAGATCAAACAAAACAATTAAATCTGTTTTATTGTCAACAGACCATAATATACTTGCTTATTTAGTAGAACAAGAAGGTAATGAAGTTGGAACATTATATTTCAAGGATTTATCTAGAAATTTGAATTTTCAGGTTAGATTCATTCCTTTAAAAATTATTTTTAAAACTAATTCTCTTCTAATAATAAAAAGAAAGAAAGAGAAGATCTTATTTAGATGAAGACTAAATGAAGTAATCATAAAATAATTTATTATAGCAAGAAAAATTGGAAGGAGTGTTTAATTTTTTATGGGGAACCAATACACATACTATTTATTATACAGTGGTAGATAAACAACTTAGACCATATAAGGTAAACTATTATTTATATTAAACAATACAATATTATTCAATATATTCAATAAATTATTCTCATTAGGTCTTTGCTCATAAAATTGGTACTATGCAACAAATTGACTTAACTATATTTGAAGAAAACGATCAATCTGCATTTGTGGATATCACATACACCAAGGATAAGGTTTATATTATATTATTATTATTATTATTATTTTTATTATTATTATTATTATTATTATTATTATTATATTAATATTGTTATTGCATTAATATTGCTATTATATTGTAGTCATTTATAATGATAAACTCAAATACATTTATATCATCTGAAGTTCGATTCTTTGATGCGCACCATGACATATCGTTGGGAAAACCTAATTCAACTTTAATTGAAGCACGTGTTCCAGGTTTAGAATATTATGTAGATCATCATAATGTAATGTAATATTAATTTATAAATATTGTACAATTTAATGATAATTTAATGATAATAATTTTACGTTTTTTCTTCTATTATTTTTAAAGGGATATTTTTATATTTTAACAAATGCAGATAATACAAAAAATTTCAAATTAGTTCGTTCTTGTTTAGCAAATTTTGGAAGAAAGAATTGGGAAATTATTTATGCTGCCAAAGAATCAGAAAAGATTGAAGATGTTGAAATTTTTCATGTAAATAAAATATTTGAAATATTTTTTGGTTTAAAATTTATTACAATTTATTTTGTTATTTATAAAATAATATTTTTATATATAATATTTCTTTTTTTTTTTTACTATTTAGAATTATGCGACTATATTTATCAAAAGGGAAGGATTACCAGTAATTTTATGTTATAATTTGTGGACTTTAGAAGTTCATCAAATTGAATTACCAGATAAATTTTGTGTCGTTTCTCCTGGAATAAATAATGTACATGAAATTATTAATTATATATAATTCTTTATTCATTCTCTCTATTTTTATTTATTTTTTTTCTCCTACTTTAATAATAGAATTATAAAACGGATATTGTCCGATTTACTTATAGTTCACCGTTTATTTCCGAATCCATTTATGATTATAATATGCAAACGCGTAATTTGTTACCTATTAGAATTCATTCTATTAAAGGTAGATTTCATCATTAATATTTAATATTATAATCATAATATACATAATTCAACTGTTATATAATTAATATAATTTATTTATTATTATAGATTTTGACAGTAATTTATATGAATGTTATCGAATTTATGCTAATAATAATCTCGATGATACAAAAATACCAATAACTTTATTGCACAAGAAATGTTTGGTGATGAATAGCAAGTATAGTATAAATATATATATAATATTGTATATATATATATGTATAAAATTATTGTATACATATATAAATATATTTACACCCTTAATAGTTAGATTAATAATTATATTAATAATTAAAATCAGTAATCCAGTATTAGTAAGATCTTATGGAGCATATGGAATTTCTACTGAACCTGAATTTCAACTTGAACATTTTCCACTTTTGGAAAGAGGATGGATAATAGCATTAGCTCACGTCAGGTATTGTATTGATTATATTTTATTATTATTTTATTTTTTATTTTAATTAATTATTTTACTTTGTTTTGTTTAATTGTTTTATTTTTTTTCTAGAGGAGGGTCAGAATTAGGTTTTTCTTGGTATGAACAAGGTAGAAATATGCAAAAAATGAATTCATTCAATGATTTTATTTCGGTGATTGAACATTTAATTAGTTCAGAATATACAAATACTTCATTAATTTCGACTATTGGCATTAGTGCCGGTGGTTTATTAGCAGGTATTTCTATATTTAGAAATCATATATAACTAATATCTCTATTATATATTTCTATTGTTAATAATATTACTAAATTTATAATTTTTATACAGGAACAGTTTATAATATGAGACCAGGTTAGTATTATTTTTATTATTTATTATTTATTATTTTATTTATTATTTTATTTTATTTATATATATTCGTATTTATATATTTATCTAAATTTCATTTTTCAAGAACTTTTTCGTACAATTATTATGAAAGTCCCTTTTCTTGATCCTTTATCCAGTATGTTAGATCCTAATTTACCTTTAACTAAAGTAGAATATCATGAATGGGGTAATCCTGCTGAAAGTAAAGAAATATATGATTATATTGCTAGTTATACTCCTTATGATAACATTAAGCATTATCGTCCTTCTTCTACAAATAATATTGTAAATTCTTCTATATTAGTAACCGCTGGAATGCATGATCAAAGAGTTAATTATTGGCATCCTTTAAAATGGATTGCTCGTATGAGATTAAGGCAATCGGATTGTTATTATCCTTATTTAAAGAACGGAAATTTGGTAAATTTTGGAAAAAATAATTTATTAATTTTAAAAATTGATTTTGATAAAGGTCATTTTGTTGGAAATAATCATTCAGATAAGATAAAAAATTTAGCGTTTGAATTGGCCTTTCTTATTTCTCAAATCACCAAACATTAATTTATTTTATTAAGACAAGAGTATACATTTATGTAGCGCAAAATGAATGTATAACTTAAAAAAATACTTTATTTCATTTAAAAATATAATAGAAATAATAATTAAATTTATTTGTCATTTAAAATTGAGGAACTGGGTAATCTTCGAAGGTTTTCTTCACTCCTTCACTCTTGGCGATATTATCAATCCATCTCTTAACATTAGGTCTACTCTCGTACAAATCTTTATGTTTCTTGGCAGTATAAGCTGTAGTTGGATAATGAAAAATATCTGCAAGTGAAATGTCACTTCCGGTTAAAAATTGTTTCCCTTCCAATATTCGTTCGTAAATATCAAGTATTTTGGCGATTTTTTCAAGTTGTGTATTTACTAACTCGGCATCTGGTCCACCTCCACCACCTAAACCTTTAAAAAGTTCTTGAAATATAATGGTAGCGAGTGGTGGATCGTAATAACATGATTCTGCCGAAGCATATTGATCAACAAGAGCGGCTTTTTGAATATCGTCAGGAATTAAAATTTTTTTGTTATATTTTCCTTGATACTTGGCGACTATGTAACGAGCGATTGGACGAGATTCGTAGATAGTAAAACCATCATCAATGAGAACTGGGATCTTTCCACTGTAATTAATTTAATAAATTTAATGAATTTAAAATGAATTAAATGAATTTTAATAAATTTAATTGATGTTACAGATTTAATAGAATTTAATAGAATTAATTTATCGAATTAAAATTATTTATAAATTAATTAATAGTATTTTATACAAAAAGGAAAGGATACTTACAATGGATTTTTTTCAGCCAAAAATTCTGGACTCTTGAGATCTGAAAAATTTTCTGGAGGAGCCAAGGAATAATCAGTAACACCCAATTCATTTAATGTCGCAATTACCCTAAGGGTAGAAGGTGAACTTGAATATCCAATAAGTTTAATAGTCATTTTTTATCGTCTTCTTTTTTTTAAGCCTGAATTTTTCTTTAACTTGGTACTAAATCGTTAATATTTATAACTTTTCGGTTTTTTTTTTACCGTAAGAGCTAATTCATAATGAGTAATAAACTGGTTGATAATAGGTAACCAAATTAGGGAATTTATTTGGTTTAGACCCAATTAGGAATTTTATATTTTGTATAAATGTTCAAATAACAACTAATGAAATTTTACAAATTCATCGTTTTGCATAAAAACCTGTTGTCTATTATTTCGTAATACGTATCTCGCGTACCAACCGAACAACTTACGTAAACTATAAAATTGATAACAATTTCTATTTTTAAGCATTCTATATCCCGACGGCAAGTTGGCTGATAAATTTATTTCTTATTCTTTTATATAACTATACTTTTACGGTTATAAAGATCGTTGTTACTGTAACAATAAGATGGAAATGCAGTCAAGGATATGAATGGAATGCCCATAACTGGCAAACTCTTGAAGATGCTAGAAAAATTGCACATGATGGAAATGGGGAATCTCTTTCCGAAAAATCATGGCAGGTCATGAATAGTATATACAAATTTTATTGTCTCTCTGACTTATATATTAATAACTATTCGGAATGTATTAAAGGCCATATATGGTATGACACCATTTCGTAAAATTAAAATCAAAAATACTTGATGCCATTTGTCATCTGCATAAACGTTTGTTTCTAAATATTTGGGGCCATCATCGTACAGATTTCTTGAAATCCCTGAACACCCTAAAGGATTAGAACTTGACATTCCTTACTATAATTATGATCTAGCAATCAAAGTTTCATAGAGGTGATCTCTACAATTTTTATCAAACAGCATCAAAGAGAATTGGGATTTGTCCTCAGATATGTTATTTGTTATTACGAGCATCTTCAAGAATTGGGTCTCGCTTTAAGCAATACAAAAAATCGAATTCACATGTTTAATTGTGGCTTCCTTTATTTTAAAATTTTAAAAATTATTTTGTTCCTGGCTTTAAGATTTATTGAGACCATTTTTACTGTTTCTTAATATATATAAAAATCTTTTATATATCGCAACGGTCATTAATTATTTTTTTTTTTTTAAAAAAAAAAAAAAGTTTAAGAACGCGAATAGAAAAATAATTCACGGATTGGAGGATAATCCGAGAATTGAAAATTTTAGACGGATCACCCAGATCGTACCGCCACAATTTATAATACCAAAAATATTATATTGTTATTATATAAAAATTATATAATCAAATGAGTTTGTAAATAAGTGATGAAAAATTCTGGATAATAATAATCATATTCTAACCGATCCGTGGATACAAAATCCAGATATCAATTAGGCTAGAAATCTTAAATTTGGCTCAAGAAAGTGGAACATAAAAGAAAAAATAAAATTTTAGCCGTCATTCATAAAACTACATTTATTATCCGGATTTATCAGATTATCGGTTTGCGGATAAATGGATATCCGGCCGCCACCACAATTGAATATACTTGTTTAGAACCAATTAAATCTTCTTTCTAAATAAATTCTTTATACCTAAAAAAATATCTTTTGCAGATTTCTTAGTACATAAACCTAAACGGAGGATAATTAGATAGTAAAATTTCAGATGGAATATCCACATTCTGTAAAATAGAACCTACTGGATGATTTATTTGTAATTCAGTTAAAGATTTGACTACTCTATTAAATTTATAATACCAGAAAAAAACATGAACACGAAAAATGTTTATTGATTGGATCATATTTAACAATCCTTTTTTTTTGATAATCAAACCTCTCGACATAAAATAATATTTCTTCATTACTAAAAAATAAATAAAGAATTAAAATTTACAAAATATTTATTTATTTATTTAAAATTTAAGTTTTTCTTTACCTTGGAATTTTCTCACTTTTATAAGACATACATTGCAATAATTTTTTTGTGTTTTTATTAATGCATACTTTGTTAATAATTCTGAAGATTGTTTTTCATAAGGACTTGTTGTTAATAAAGAAACAGTTTTATTGTTTTCATAAAATCTAATAAATTCAGTATCTTCATCTCATTGTTCTAATGCTGATTCAAATGTTTTCAAAAAGTTAAAAAGGGATGTTGTGGCATCCATATATCCTTTCATAAGGCTATTCATTGATTCACCCCTTTGGGTTGTGGTCATATCAGCCATAAACAAATTCCGATTATAGCAAGGTGCCCAACGTTGTAAATTTTTTTCCATTTTTTCTAAATATTTGATTATTGTAGGATGCATTATTTTTAATTGATTCCATTTTTCTAAAAAGTTATCTTCATCATATTCATCAAGACATTTATAAAAAAATCTTATTAATTCCATCCATTTAAATCCTAATGTACTATTTAAATTTTTGACTACATTTTTCATAATATGCCACAAACACAAAGTATGCTTTGTTCCAAGTGGTGAAAAAATAAGATCTACTGCTTTGATAATTGCAACATCTTCATCTGTGAAAAATATTTTTGGTGCTTTATTATTAACCATTTTGAGAAAAATATTAAATGTCCAATTAAAACTTTTAACACTTTCATTACACATAATTACACCAGCAAAGCATACACTTTTCCATAATTATTAACACCGGTAAATATGCCAAAAGACATGTTAAATCTATTAGTTTTATATGTATTATCGAAAACTACTACATCATAAAATCAGCAATAATTTATTTTTTGCTCAGAAAACATCCAAATTGCATGTTGTAATTCATTTGTTTCTAAATTAATTTTAACTTTGTACTGAAATTCATTATTATGTAATTTAATATTTTCTAACTCTTCATTTGTATCTAATTTTCGTTTCTCAATAGTTCCTTCTTGTTGATAAACAAAATTATACAAATCATTATAAATCCATGTTACAATGCTAGAAAATTCTTCTTTTAATATTGCTCGAATTGTTGGGATATCACAACCAGCATGACGAAGCAACATGATTTTTTTTTGTACTTCGGAAGGAATTGTTCTTTCTTGTGTCATAAACCGTTGATGTTTAGGTAAAACCATTACATGATTGTGTTCTAAATGCATTGTTGTAATGTACCAAAGTCCATTTTCAGAATTCATAGATGCACATACCATAAATTTGCACTTACAATATTGTGCTGGTCTATTTCTAATATTTGAACTTTTTGAAAACTTTTTTGAATTGCCTTCCCTACTACATAATATTGTTCTTTTACATATTTTGCCTGATGAATTTTTATCTACTTTTCCTAACCTTATACTAAATCCTAAACTTTTTGCATAGTCTTTAATAGCTGTAATAAAATCATCATGAGTAGCATATAATTTGCCTTCTTTAAGCTCTATATTTGTCATTTCAACCTTCAAGTTTGTAGATATAGTAGAACTAGTTTCTGATAAATCAGATGAATCAGATAAATCAGAAAGTACTGATTCGCAATAAGTTGACATTATAAAGATTCGTTTTTGAGACTTGAGAAATATATAAGTGTACAATATATCATAAATATTAGAATATAACAGTCAAATAAAGAAAACTTTTATAACTTAAAGAAACTGATTTAAAACTTATTATTTATTAAACTTACTATGATATATTTTCAAGCTCTCGAAAACAAAAAAAAAACATACGCGACATTTTTTATTTACAAAAAAAAAATTTATCACATGACAATACTCGAGGGTTTAGGATAAGAACCTAAACCCCCCAGGTCTAGGTTAAGATTCCCCTTCATATAATACTACTGATCTACAATAAATAAAGTATTATCGGGTTTGTGAAATATGTATCATATTAATTATTTATCGCAATAGTGAATTTCCATATTTCACGAATTCGTGCATATAATACATTATTTTTTAGCTAGATTCGGTAATGCATTTGCGTACCCTTGACAGTAATAATATCACTAATTTCTTCGGGTGATAAGCGTGTCGCACCTGATCTTAATCTTCTAAACATTTTATATACGCAGAAAAAATAGCAACCCCATGTGGTCGCGGAAAAATGATTTATCTATATGCATTGAAAATTGCCGAAGGTGGTCATATAGATGTTGGATTAAATTAGTGAACTTTGTTTCTCGCATAGCGTAATCCCGATTTCGTATTTATATTATATATGTGAAAGTATTTGCTTTGTCGCGATGTATTAATATGCGCAGATTGAACGATCTGAATTTTTATGTTTTTTCCCCGCTACTTAAATTGTAATAATAACATTCATCATCATTATCTGCTTCGTTGTTGTCATCAAAGAAATCTCCATCATTATCTGCGTCCTCATCACCAGAAAATGTTAGGCATATTTTCATGCTTCTACTTCACGACTTTACGTTGTATTTTATAGCAAAACTAATTTTACGTTAATAAAGTTATGAGTAGATAAATAAGTGGATTTTCATATTATATTAAAGCAGTCGGCGAAAAAAGACATTTTCCCAACAATATTGTCAATTTTATTAATTTAACATATGATAATAAAACGCATTGAAAATTTTATCTCTGTTTTAAGAAAAGTGTCTACAGTATTAGCAATGAACAATTTCAACAAATACAATGCAAGGCAATGTTGAATTTCATGTTACAACTACATCTAAGGTTGAGAAATTACATTAAGCACAATGTTGAATTCAATTCTCCAATTACATCTTAGGTCGAGGTGTTCGTTCCAATTCATTCTATAATAGACCGGAATATTCAAATCCCGCAAATGGATTATATATGGGGCTCTGGCAGGCATTTCGGGTGTTGGAGTTGTAGGTGTTGTAACTATCCAGGGATTTGGGTTCTGGGGAAAAGGATTGACTGCAACTGGGATAGCGATTCCAATATATTCGATATTGTGTTGCTGAATTAAGTCAATTTTAGATAAAGCGTGACTACGATCTAAATCTCTGTTATAGAAAACCTAAGTGGATTCGAATCTGATAAGCAAAACTTTACATCGTTTCTTTCAAAAAATAATAATACAATTACCTCTATCCATACGTTTGGTGGTGGGCACGAGTTTGCAATGGGTCTTGAACTTTGTGCAAACGTTACCTGCCGAAACCAGATGCCAACGTCAGGTCGAAAGTTATTACCCCCTACTACACATATTACATTAACATCTACATCCCAATTTGGATTATGAATCTCGGCTGAATTTGCTAGTCTGCGATGGATTCTTTCCTTATGTTTTCCGTCATACTATATGATATCGGTGAAATTAATAAATGATATATATTGTGATGTGTAAGCTATAATGAAACTCACTTTGATAAACAAGTCTTTCCCAATTATCTCGGCGTCATATCTTTCGTGTATCGCTTCGCGGATATTGACATCATCCAATTTATAGGCGGAAAGACTGACCTTGACGACATCTTCCTTTTTCTCCGGCATTAATGATTCCAATGATTTATCAATGTACGCAAAGATCTATTGTATTGCAGTCATTAGTCATATTTTCTGACACTATCATAAACACTAATATAAATTACATCATAAACAGTATTAAAATACCATATTAATTTGGGAGGTTTGTCTTGTCTCCCGGGTCACCGTAGATGCTTCTACACCTTCTAATTTGATGCTCATATTGAAAGATTGAAGAGAAATTGAATTGATTGATTTGATGGATCAGGAAACAAGTGATGGAGAAAAAAATAAAAAAAAATTTTTTACGGATCGCTCTTATACCCATATCTTTCTATTATCTGTTAATTACTGAGTTTAAAAAAAAATGAAGTTTAATTTTAATTAAATAAACTGAGATCATGTATTGCAAAGTAAGGGTTTATATGCTGTGACATGTGAGCATGATATTTGCTGTACTACGATTGTTAATATTGTACTATATTCTCATCCTTATCCCAGGAAAACTTGAAGACTCTGAGTCCAATGTATTTCGAAAAAATACGAGTTATATATTAAACACTTGTCTGCAATTTATATATTAAGTTTTAGATATTATGGATTGATTATAGATCGAAATTTGGGATGCTTGATTAACGAAGCACTTAATTTTTTGTACTCTTTCAGGGATGACAATTTCTGGTTTTTCATCATACCATACTTCAAGTAAGAAAATTCCGTTATCTTGACATAGGGTTCTTTTTTTCCGATCACGTCTTCGAATTTTTTTTTTAACATCTTTATAACAGCTAGTGTGATGAAGCCGATGCTGAGCCACTTGTACTTCTAATGCGATTCGATGTTTTTTAAAAAAGACGTCAAATTCTAATCCATTCAAAAAAGGAGGCCGATACTCAAT